GTGGTCCCCTTGAAGTGCGGGGTTGAAACGACACTTGGTCCACGAGACGACATGGTGATCATCATGGGCTGCTATTCGTCAATGGCCGGGAATATCACACAGGAGTCCTCCTCTCCGCCCAATCCTACGAACATGTGCGGGAAAAGCTGGCTCACGAACGGTCTAGACTAGTGATGTTGCTCGGGAAAAAAGGGCTCGAGCAACTTGCAGATTGCATGAGCCAGCTATCGACCAAGACTGGGATCCAAGGGTAATCTTCCAGCGACTCAAGACGCAGCTGGACGGTGTACGTATGCAACGCTGAAGCGGCGAACTCGGATACCAAGACGGCTGAGCAATTGCGGAGCCAAGACCGAAACAAGAAAATGTTCAGACGAAGCGCGGCAAGATCAAAGTCGGAGAGAAATGAGGCGTTGGTTGTTGATGGCGGTCTTGCCTGCCGAAGCTACTCATGTCAGTCTGAAGTTTTGTCTATCTCTAGACGAGAAAGCAACGTCAGCAAGCTTGTTGGAGCGTGAATTCAAGCGACGGATAGCAGGACAGCCCTTGCATGCCACTGTTACACGTTCAGGGCCAGCAAAGTGAGGGCATCCCAGCCCGTCGAAGTTTTGGGGCCTGTTGGGTGCTTGACACAATGACACGAATGGATGAGAGAAGAGGAGGGATAACGGGCATGGGCACCGTGGGGGGGTATGCAGCGTTGGTGGCCCGTGACGAACAAGGACTACTCAAGACTGGACTGCGGAGGATTCTTTTTCGTCGTATAATTTTGACTTTGGGTACCCGTCTCGGGAGCTGCACATCAGCGGGCATATGCTGTCTGCCGGTTGGGAGAGATCAACAGTCAATCCCATCCGAGTTCCCAGTTTTCTCCGACAAGTCTGCCCAGAGAAAAACATGGTTTTGTGGCCCATCCCTTTCAATCTACGACAGATGAGACTTCTTGACAGACGTCAACGGCTCACGTCAGAACGTCAATAAGAGACGGCTGTTAATGGGAACTGCTGCGCTGCAGGCAGATTAGAGCTCGTCACAGTCGCAAGAACGTCGGAGTGGTGGAGAATGGCGGGCAGAGATGGAGGAGGAGGGGTTTGGGGGCCGGAAGTGCAGCACGCAGCACCGGGTGCTCGTCTACGTTAATTACAGTGTCGTTAAGGTTTTGCCCGACGGTTGCCAAGCCTGTCATGTCAAAATCTCGCGGGCGGCGCCCCCAATCCCCCAAATCATCAAAGCGCGCAGATAGCCTCGACATCGGCCTTTTCCCGCGGCCCCCTAGTCTACCAGAACTCTGCATTCTACGGCTCGCTATATGCAGTTTGTAGGCCTGAGAGGGAGAAAGGCACACACACATACGCCCGAACTCGGGCCTCTTCCTAGGCATTGGGTTGAGTTAGCTGCTGTCATCCAGAGGCTGGACGAATCCTTCGGCTGTGGGCATAGACGGGATCGCTCAATGTCAGACTCGATCCCCGCAGAAATCACAGGTCCTATCGTTGGGAAAACGTTTGACAGTTCATGCCCGCTGGCGTTCGGTCAATCGGCACGCAGCGTGGCTGGGTTCAGGGACTGAGGACATACGGCGAGTCCCTCTCGTCTCCTCTCTTGTCCTGTCCTGCTCGTCTCCCTCCCCTCACAGGCTCACGGTCCTCATCACCTTTGCTTGGCTGACTCGGCCGACTATCCCCGGCGCAAAGGCTGGTGCGAATTCTCAACCTATGCTGAGCCACGCGCTGCTGTGTGCTGCGTGCCTGAGATCCGGCTAAGCTTGAATTGTTAGCGTGCCTCCAGCCCGGGAAGCACCACGCAGCTAATATCCGTCGGCCAACCACGTCCAGCTGAGTGGGCGCCGCACCATGTTCTGCGACTAGGCTCGGAGGGGCAGCGACTGGCCGCGATGTCTCTCCTTATGGTCTTGGCTCCCGAGCGCGGGTGCTCTCCGGGACGCTGTGTCTAGGGCAAGGTTCTCTCGTTTTTTTCCCTTTCACCTTCATCAAATTCTCCTGTGTGGGCAGCAGTCACAACGCACCTGCAGTGGTGCGAAACCACGATCCGTCCAGCGTGGTGGCATGGCACTGCGATCATGCATCCAGCATCCAGCACCCAGCTTCCAGCACCCCCCCAAGGCGCGCCCATACTCGAATTGTGCCCATCCTCCGTGGCTTCAAATCTCGCCGCGGCAGCTTCCTGACGGTGTTAGAGAGGGCATCGCTGCCAATTACACCCCTTCCCTCTTAAACCCTAACGCATTGCGTTCTTGTCCGACCTCCGAGATGCGTTGGCGGCAGACCTCCCGCCGCCTCACCCTTGCCTTTGCCCTCCCGTGGCTCAAAATCCGAAGTTTTCATGTTTTGTCAGTGCTGACAATCCAGGGGTTTTCTTGTCTAGAACCGATGCCAAAGGCATGGGCAGAAAGGCGTATCTGCATTCTGTCTTGGTGTTCCTGGTCACCGAGAGATCCCTCCACACCCCGTTTGCCCAAACATGAGACGCACTACACGAGGCTGTTGGTCGCATCTTTCAGGCTGTTTCAAGCCGACGGGACCCTCGAGACACGACAGACGGAGAGCGCCATCTTGTGCACCGCCCACAAGCCACAAAACAATTATCGGCAAATATCGCCAAAAAAAAAACGAGATGGGATGTCCCCAGTGCCATAGCTCAGATCTTATCAATACGTGCGGCGAGTATGACCTCCAGCGAACGAGGTTCTGGCAACCCCTTTCCAATCTCATCCCCCCCTCCATCAGCACGGAAACGCAGCCATCCCTGCTGGCTGTTTGGACTCCGGTTGGTCGCAGGCTTCCAGAAGACTGTGGGTTTCCGCGACCAGGGGTGGCCCTCCCCTTTCTGGTGTGGCACCTCTCATCGAGTGTGGGGTAAGAGGGAGGTCGGACAAGCTCAGTTGCTTCGCGAGGGTGTCGCTAGATTTTAGACCCCCCTGCGAGCAGCACTCCGGCTTCTTCGCGAGGCCCTAGGTAAATGAATAAGAGGGGTTCGTTATTGGTGATGGATGTTGAGATTGGGAGAACTCCGCAAGCTCAAGAGTTGTCGCAGCGTGCTAAGCTTTGGGGTGCGTCGGTAAAGCCTATCGTTCTGGCGAGCATCGCCGGTATGAAGATGGAACTCTACTTTTGCTGAATGTTGACCGCTTCTCTTTTGTGAGAGAAGCGACATTGCGACGGAGAGGAAACGGGACTTTGATTTCCGGTAGGACTTTCAAAGCTCCCACAGCGTCAAGTACTTTTTTTTTTTTTTCTTTCTTCCTCGGTGCGGACTCGATGATCTCGCATACCTCGCAGAACCGTGGCAACCGTCACGCAGCGATATGGGTTCTGTCACATATCTCTCGGCTCGGGCTTGGCCGGAGGACGCCACGAACCCGCGGAGCCCTGGAAAGGTGAACCGTTGGAAGCCGTATCCACAGCTCACGCCATATGCCACGCCCACGCCGGTGTGACTGCGAGCGCCGAGCAGCAGTACCCACGGCTGCGGATGCATATGACCCTGGCTCTCTTTTTTTCCTGGCAGAAGAAAAAATAGCCAACGGTTCGCGCAGGCGAGAACGGATCGTTGGGATGTCAGACGTCAAGAAAGGGCAGGCCGCCGAAGGATGGCTCGTCCCAAAATGCGGCCGCGGGATCGCGAGCCCAGCAGGTGGGTGGCCAGCGCGGCCGGCTATTCAGAGATCGGGCCAGGGCCCGTATGCGAGGTGAAGGGAAGGGAATGAAAGCCGAGAAGGAACGGTAATAAAAAAAAAATGATAGGAAAAAAAGGAGGCGGCGCGTGCTGCATCGTGACAAACCAAATCGAGCGTCACTGTCAAACCTCTCTGGCTTGCCATCGCGCGTCTTGGGACCTCACTACCTCAGGGGCGCTGAGCTTGCTTGAATGTTTCCCCCGGGTTTACCCTGCAACATGGAGCGACAGCCTCCGGCCGTAGGAGCTGGGCCGTTTTGTGTGCTTCGAAACCTTTTGAATACTCTGGACCAAACATACATCGAACGAACTATTCTGCCCAGGTGCTGGAGTTTCCGGCACCCAGGTCCAGGTTTGCTGGTGCTAGGCGAAGGTAGGAGACTTTTCATCTGGTTTCTCACCCTTGGAGCTAAGGAGATATTGTTCTGACACCGTCGTCTTTTCTTTCCCTCTGGCGTGTGCGTTCCTGCGGCGAAGCAGAAGCAGCATTGTGAGGGTGTGTATGAACCAGGCCCAGGGTGGAAGGAGGGAAGGCCAGCAAGTCGGATGCACCCAGCAGGAGAAACGGCTGGGACACCCACACGGAAGATTCCTACGTCACGCAGGGAGATCCCATCTCGGACAGGCAGTGCTGGTTTCAGGATGTTGGCCGTCCCGTGCTGCAGGTTCGACGACGATGGCTGAATCACACAGATACCCCGTGTTGGGCTTGTGTGAGCTTATCGAGGTGTGATTGAGTTGAGTTGCGTGTACCTGGAGCTAGGCCAAGAAACTGATAGCCGTCATCGAGACATGAATTGCATCTCATGTTGAGGATGTGTCTAAGAGTGTGTGTGACGAAAGTTGAATCTCGATTGTGGTGTTCACCACAGGCAGGACGAGGGGATTTCGGAAGCCCGCAAGCCTTTCGTCAAGCTGCGTTGGGATGTTTGGGATGATGGTGAAGAGTGGTACTGAGCTCGCTCGCTGAAACAAACAGCCCAAGGTGGAACCTGAGGCAGCCGGGGCATCTTCTTAAGAGATGGATCTGCATGTGGCGTACGTTGTGGCGTTGCTTACCCTGTCTTCTGCAGCAACCTGTGGCTGGAGCTCGAAACTCTAGTCCCAATTTGGCAAGTCCTCCCAACGACATCACGAGAGGAGTTGGAGATATCAAAATCTGGAGCCTGTTTTTGCTCCGCAGTGCCAATTCAACACACATGTGGCGGTCCCTCGTCTCAAAGGCTTCGATCCCGCTCAGAACAGCCTTCACCCGCGTTGCCAACCCCGCAAGCCGCGCCGCCGCCTTTGCTACAACCGCCAAGATGGCCGCCGCCAACAGAGACCCCAACACCCTCTCCAACTACGGTGCGTGGCTCACCAAGCACACCACCGCCAACCTCACCATCGACTTCAAGGACAAGTGTCTGAAGGGCTCCGTCACCCTCGAGCTCGAGTCGCTGACCGACAAGGAGAGCAAGGAGATCGTCCTCGACTCCAGCTTCCTCTCCATCAAGGGCGTCAAGGTCAACGCCACCACCTCCACCTATGAGCTCAAGGACCGCGTCGAGCCCTACGGCGCTCCCCTGCACGTCTTCGTGCCCCAGGGCGCGGCAAAGGGCGAGATCGTCAAGGTCGACGTCGACCTGTCGACCACCGACAAGTGCACCGCGCTGCAGTGGCTCACGCCCGCCCAGACGAGCAACAAGAAGCACCCGTACATGTTCTCGCAGTGCCAGGCCATCCACGCGCGCTCGCTGTTCCCGTGCCAGGACACCCCCGACGTCAAGTCGACGTACACCTTTGTCCTGACCTCGCCGCTGCCGGTCGTTGCGTCCGGCGTGGCTGTCGAGGGCGAGCCGGAGAAGAAGGGCGACGAGACGGTGTACCGCTTCGAGCAGAAGGTGCCGATCCCGTCGTACCTGTTTGCGCTGGCGTCTGGAGACATCGCGACGGCGGACATTGGGCCGCGCAGTATTGTTGCAACGGGACCCGATGAGCTGAAGGAGTCACAGTGGGAGCTCCAGGGCGACATGGAGAAGTTCATGGAGGTCGCGGAGAAGCTTGTCTTCCCTTACAGATGGGGTCAGTACAACGTGCTGGTCCTGCCGCCCAGCTTCCCCTACGGCGGCATGGAGAACCCCATCTACACGTTCGCGACGCCGACCATCATCAGCGGTGACAAGCAAAATGTGGACGTTATTGCTCACGAGCTGAGCCATTCGTGGAGTGGAAACTTGGTTACCAGCTGCAGCTGGGAGCACTTGTGAGTGGGATGGTTTGTGTGAGAAGATGAGAGGCTAATGAGTTGAAAGCTGGTTGAACGAGGGTTGGACAACTTATCTCGAGCGCAGAATCGGCATGGCTGTTCACGGTGATGCTGAGCGTGACTTCTCTGCCATCATCGGCTGGAAGGCTCTGGGTACGGATTCTCTATTCAGTCTCACATGAAATCTCACTCACTAACACATATCAGAGGACGCCGTCGCCCTCTTCGGCAACGACTCCGAGTTCACCAAGCTCATCATCAACCACAAGGGCATCGACCCCGATGACGCCTTCAGCACCGTCCCCTACGAGAAGGGCTTCCACTTCCTCTACTACCTCGAGCGCCTCGTTGGCCGCGACGCCTTTGACAAGTTCATCCCCCACTACTTTACCAAGTGGTCTCGCAAGTCTCTCGACTCTTTCGAGTTCAAGGACACCTTCCTCACCTTTTTCAATGGCCTCGGCGATGCCGAGATCAAGGACAAGGTGGCCTCCATTGACTGGGATAAGTGGTTCTACCAGCCTGGTCTGCCCCCTAAGCCCGAGTTTGACACCTCGCTGGCGGATGTGTGCTACAAGCTTGCGGAGAACTGGAAGGACGAGGTAAGTCTAATTTAGTCCACATCTCTAACACGATACTAATAAATAAACAGAAGTTCACTCCCTCTGCCGAGGACGTAGCCTCCTTCTCCGGAAACCAGAAGCTCGTCCTCCTCGAGACCATCGAGAAGTTCCCGAGCCCCCTGTCCGCCGAACGCGCCCGCCTTCTCGGCAAGACCTACGACCTCGTTTCGTCGCGCAACGCCGAGCTCAAGACTGCCTACTACAAGATCGCCCTGGCGGCCCAGGACTCATCCTCGTACGCCGGAGCCGCTGAGCTTCTTGGTCACGTCGGCCGAATGAAGTTCGTCAGGCCTCTGTTCCGTTCGCTGAACAAGGTTGACCGCGACCTTGCGCTCAAGACCTTTGAGAAGAACCGTGACTTCTACCACCCCATCTGCCGTGGCATGGTCGAGAAGGACCTTGGACTCGTGTAAAAGTATTGGAACACACTATTTGTCTTTCTTAGTGGCAAAATCACGTTGTTGAAACCAATCCACGCATAATCAAGTAAAACGACTTCGAACTTTGATTCAAATCAAGATGGCCGATAGCCGGTGATCTCATTTGATAATAATCAAATTGTCTCATGCATATACTCCCTAAGTCTGCGGACAACAGCCTCTTTCCCATTCTGTTCCGCGTAGTCAAGTGGCGTTCTCCCCATCAAGTCCGCAGCAGTCGCGACGGGTAAGTGTTTTAGCAGAATCAGAACAAAGTCCAGCAACCCATTCATAGCTGCAAAGTGAAGCGCCGTCCATCTGCTCTCGTCTGCTGCGTTGACATCTACGCCCTTTCCAATAAGCAGTTTCGCCATGTTCATGTCCTCATCCCTGACGGCGAAGCTTAACAGGTTGGTGCGTATCTTTGTAGGATCGGCTCCATAGTCCAAGAGCAAGCGTGTGATGTCTCCAATCTCCCCTTCCATGTCCATGGCCCAGTCCAATGGATATTCGCATCCAGAGCCAGAGTTAGCGTCGGTGCCATATTCCAGCAGAACTCCCACGACGTCCTTGTAGCCATTCGATATTGCAGAACGGAGTGGGCTGTCTGGCCCGAATCCATGGACATGTGTTCCCTGTTTGAGAAGACGGCGGACTTCAGACAGTTTTCCGGACTTCGCGGCTTCTACAAGTAGTAGCATGTCGACAATCTCGGTCAACTCGAAGTATGCTGCGACTTCAACGCTTAGGCGATCATGAACTTGGCCCCATTCTGGCACATTCGAGTCGTCTGTTGAGAATGCGTCCACAACCTGCATAGCGGCCTGAACAGCTTTTTCGCGGCCGAGGAAGGTTGTGATGGCTAGCCGCAGGGTTTCACCAATCCGCGGGTCCCTCGAACCCCTTTCCTGATCCAAAGCCTTCCGTGCGTACTTTCCCCAGGATGTTGCGGCGTGGATATAGAACGGATGCATCACCATTCGCTCATCCCATCTAAAATCCGTCTTACAAGACCCAGACTCAAAGACCTCCATAGACAGGTACTCACAGCAGGTTTCTGCTTGTTCTCGCGCCATACTCGGAAACCAATAATCTCGGTTCGAAGCAAAGAACGACTTCGCTGTACCGTGGAAGAAATCAAGATAACCCTCTGAATCGACGACGACGAGACCAGCACAGGAAGAGATCACCGCTTCCAGATTCAGGCCAGGAGGAGGGGCCCGTCTGCTGTTTCTGAACGTGCAGAGATCTTCGAACGCCCTCTTGTCAAGCCTCAGGCTAGATTCAGAGAGAGCTATCCAGGCAATGAGAGTTTTGGCCCACTTTGATAGAGATGAATCCTGCACTCGTATCATAGCTTCAGTATACAACTCCATCAATGGCCTAGAGCGGTTTGGATCGAAAGAATCCTCGTTGTTGCTTCGTGTGCTGGCTTTTAGATGATCGAGATAAATCTTAGCAAATAGAAACCTAGTGCTGTGAGTAAGTTTTTCATACAGATACTTATGAAAAAAACACCCACAATCCATTCGCAAAGTCCACAGTCTGTTTCAGGATCCCATCTAGGGGTGCAGAAGGTTGGTTTGCCTTCAAAGAACCTCGTACAAATCTCGAGATATCACGATATGTGGCGCGTATTGTCGTTGTGTGAGTATGCCAACCAAAGCCAATCGGAACTGATCGGGAGGTTATTAGGAGATTGACCTTGATACCATAGTTTTGTAAGTCTGATATCGACTGTAAGAATTCCTGGTGATTTCCGAGCAATTCCGGAGCGTCTACAACGACGAAAATCCTGCTCATTCTGCGAGCGGCGCGGACGAGAAGTTCTCTTCGTGTCCCCTGGCTCAGAAGGATGTCATCCTCTTCGGCTTCAAAAATTTCTTCATTTGGAGACACAAGGTCCCCCGGAAGAGCATGGAGAAGCTGTTTGATAAGGCTTCGGTGTAGACTCATGCTGACATCACCACCGTGAGCATGTGTTTCGCAAAACAAGCCGACAACCCCAAGGATGATACCCATAGATGACACTCTGCGAGCCTCCGCGTAAAGATCTTCAATAACAATCGAGGCTAGAACAGATTTGCCAACGGCGGGTGCGCCAAGAACAAGGAACGAGTCCCCTTCGCTATCCATCCACATTCGGTATTTCTCTGAGTCCAGGAACCATTGGCAAGTACCTGGGTATCGCTGATACCTATATTTCTGACAGACTACTTCATCGTCTGTCAGTACGGTAAGCCCGTCTTGACGGACTCCATCGTCACTACTCCCGGTATCCTCAGTGGTAGCGGCGTAGTTCTGGAATCCGTCCTCAACGTGGCGTGGTGAGCCCAAGGTTTCTTCATCCGTTTCTTCGTCTGAGAACCTTAGACTAACACTTCGCAAGGATGGTATGAAATCAAGACCATTTTGGGAATCTCTCCTGTAGCTGACTTGCGATGAGTCTGGCTCGTCAGTTCCTTGAGTTCTTGGGAAAGCGAAAGAGGCCAATCTCTCCATATGTAATGCCATATGACTCGCCAAGCCTGCATCTCCTAGAGAGGAGGATAGACAAAACGGACACTGCTCTCTTTCATCCCTGGTGTCTTCATAAGCGAATTCAGACATGTTCTGTATCTGAGCTTCTGTAAAGGTGGTGTGCGACATAGCCATGTGATCTATCCAACCAGCTCTTGTTGTAAACTTGTCTTGATGCTCGAAACAGTGCCAGACTCTGCGATGACTCTGCGACTCATGTTCAAGCCACACACTTCGTGTGGCATACATTTTGCTGACCTCTTTGTCTTCGCAGTCAGGATAGGTACACATGTATGGCTGCAGATCCTGTAGAAGATGTTCTCTGTCAAAATGGTTAGGTTGTCGTCGAATTTTACGAGACCACGAGGTCACTCACCTCCAGCGCCCGTCTTCGGCACATTCGGAAGTGCAAAGTCTGTTGCAGTAGTGGCAGACGAATTCTGTCTGCTCGGGTTCCAAAGAAGGAGGGGACGGAAATCTGGTGGAATCGTTGTCGTCATCGAGCCTGATTGCGACAGAAGAAGTTGTCAAAACAGCGCCCACATCACCGGCTTTTTTATAGTCTTGCGAGAGGTCTGTTTCTGGCAGTAATGCGCGCTTCGAAGAATTCGATGCTTTGTCTTCTTGGCTGGAAGCAGACATCAGCTTCCGTTTCTTGTTCATCGGAAATGGCAAGCCGTGAACGTTCATTGGCTTAGGCTGAGGAGTTGCTTCTGTCACATTCGGCGTTCTAGCTTGCCGACTCCAATATGCGAATATTCGACGGCGAGTCGTGATTGAAATTCCCCAGCGTGGTTTCAAGTAGTGAGGGGCTTCTCTTGCATGCATTCCATCTGGTGTTCCCAGCGGCAGTGGAGGATCGTCTATCTCACCAGTCATGGACCTTTCGAGTTGCCGAAAGAATTCGTTGACATGGCGTTGATCAAAGTCTGAGTAAGCCTTGAACAGGTCAAAAGGCTGGTCATCCACCTGAACTTCTTCCTTATGTTTGTGAGCCTTTTTGTTCAATGGTGTAGTTTGAAAAGCAGGGCTATCGATTCGCCATGCTATCTTCTCAAGAGATGCCAGAGTTTGGTCAACATCAGCAGTGTTCTGTCCCAGCTCAGTCCTCATGTCGTATCTGCCAGAGTAACTGCCATCGCTGGAGCTGTTACATTCGCTCGAGTTCCCAGAGTCATCCTCGGAATCGCTTTCGAGTGTTTGCTCGAGAGGGAGCCTGTCACCCTGAATCACTTCGATGCCTACATCGAACCGTTAGTTACATCCGCACTCTATCTATACCCAATTCACAGGTTTAAGGGGACCGAATAATTTCCGCAGGAAATATTTTGGCGTCCGAGGTGCAAAGGAGCTCTTACTTTTCAATAGTGTTGCATCCAATTCGGTTAATAAATCGAGAATGGTGGTCTTTGTGAGCGCAGAACCCGGCATCCGGACGTCCAAGGACGCCTTTCCATGTCGAAGCACTCCGATATTAGTTGCCCATATCCTAAGTCTATCTCGCTGATTTTTGACCACCGAAATGGAGAGTTTCCCGTCTGATTTCTGGCTGGGGGCTTCCAGACTGCGCACAAGGACATTGAAAGTTTCCACGCATTTTGTAGTGGCCGCTGCGAGTGAAATAGATGTCGGCCCGACCGTTGTTTGTGTCTTCATGGCATTGAAACCAGACCATCTAACGACTCTCTCAGAAGTAAAAATTAGAATGAGTATCACCTGAAGTGTTGCCTTGGAGACTTCGAAGGCGTGAAACTGCTAGCTCGACAATGTCGATCGCTTTCTGGTGCGTTGAGAACGACGCAGTAGCATCGCACGTTGGGTATCGAGATAAGCGGGGTGGCGGAAAAGCCGTACGGGGCGGCTTGATATCACGGGAAGCCAGAAATGGAAATGCCAAGTCTGACTGCAGGAGCGCTTTCTGTGTAACTTCAGTCGCATGTCCAATGGCAGCGGCGCAGCCGCAAGGCTGCAGTGGCCATATCTACAATTGGCGAATGTGCGGGGGAATCGCAGCTTCATTGTTATACAGCGTGTCACAGTCGGTCGTACCTTCGCATACACCGGTATGTGAGCCTTTGATGCAGTAGGTAAAGCAGATACATGATAGACTGGGCAACACTGTTGATTGATCCGCTTGAGGGCCAACCATGGCGGAGATCGCCGGCGTTGTACTCGGAGCCGTGCCTCTGCTAATCTCTGCCTTGGAGCACTATCGAGACATTGTTGATCCCGTTATCAGATTTAAAAATTGGAGGAGCGATCTCAAAAATAACATTCGAAGGCTGGCTGTAGAGCGCGCAACTTATCACGATAATCTGCGGGTCTTGTTATCGAAAGCCATACACTCCAACGACATGGAGGAGATGATCAGCGATCCGCAGTGTGAACTTTGGACAAACAAAGGCTTGATGGGTGACTTGAACGACGAATTGGGCAGCTTTTATGAGCCTTGCATTGATTTGGTCCGAGACATTGCAACAAGCTTAGAGACGATTGCAGCGAGTCTCAATATCGAAGGGTCGGACCAGGTTAGATGCTTACCTTCGACGCACTTCAGAGCCATGCTAACATTCTGTTTTGAAGATCGAACGAGGAGGCCTCAGATCTTTCGTGTCAGCCAATTCTCCAATATCAACGACACAAGACGGCGTTTCTCGGTTCGAGTTTCGACGGCAAATAAGATTCACAATGAGGCGAAGTCAATTCAACAGAGCTATTGCATCGATAGAAAGGAACAACGACAGGTTGGGCAAGCTTCTAGATACGAAGACTAGAATCAACTCCATATACAAGAGCAATGGTCTGTATTCGAAAACCAATATCAAATTCGTTGCTCCGCTGCCGAAAATACGAGACAACGCGGCCAGAGTCCACCAAAGCCTCCGCACACGATTTTGCGCCGACCACGAGTGTCATCAGGCTAGATTGCTTCTTCAGCAACGGATAAGAAGGCGGAGAGAACTATCACAGCAAGAAATACTGAAAAATGTGGGAACACCGGAATGCTTCTGCGTGTCCTTGTTGAAGTTCTCTGAGATGTCTTGGATCGACACAGAGATTCGTGTCTATGACGAGTCTTCCGCCAGCACAAGGTATCCATATTCTCATCACTTTCACGCACATAGATGCAATCATGACTGACTGATCAGTCAAACCGGTTCTAGTGTATCTCCAATGGTCATCACAAGCCCGAACATTCAGACCACGCTGAACACAAGCGTTCCAGTTTTGGAGACATTGGCGATCACCGACATCTGCACCGCTATCCACGGCGCAATCTACCCTCAAATAGGACTAAAGATAGATCAATCAGGTATTCTTCGAGGTCTATACGAAGTTGAAACTAGGCAATACCACCTGGCCGCTAATTTCGTCACCATGGATCACTTCCTCCCCGTGATTCACAGGAGAGATCATTCCATGCCGGACCTGTATTACCTGGCTCTAACCTTGATTTCATCCATATTACAACTGGGAGAGACACCATGGCTTATACAATCGTGGAGCCGGAAACGGATCGCCTTTCTGCGACTGGAAGATGGTAGCCAGTCGTCCGTGGATATCAAGCATCCATACCTAGCTTGCCAATATGACTCTGGTAGGTCGTCTTGATAGTTATTGGATTTGCTACTTTACGTTTCATACTGACCAAAAGCTAGATACCGTAGTGTCACAACACAAGGCCCAGACTGCTGCACTGCGGCTGCGCAACCGACGAACCATTTTGGCGCTCGCCATTATGCTCCTTGAACTCAACTTCGGAACACCTATCGAAGACATCAGGACGAAGTCGGATATGGGACCAGATGGGAAGCCACACGACCAAACGGATTTCCTCGCGGCACAGCGGTGGTTCCTCCAGAAGGAAAATAAAGGACAATTGACCAAAGGGTTCAAAAGCGCGATTTGGCACTGCCTCCAATTCTCCACTCACTATGCTGCGTCATTTGACAACGACAGCTTTGTTCAAACCATTCAAGAAAAGGTGCTGGAACCAATTGAGCAGGAGTTTCTTGGGACTTGGGTAGACTTTTAGAGATCGTGGATCCAGTTTACGTACTATACTACAGGAAGCGTCTACATTCAACTGTCCAAGTTCAATAAAACATTCAACGATCACACCCATTTCATGAAGTCAGCCTCAATTCAAAATCCTGCGCATGAATTCTGAATGCGTTACTCTTTCCGACTTTCTATGATCATGAAATGATTTGAACAACCAGATCTCTAGCGTATATATCCAGGAAACAGGGGGGCTAAGGGTTCCCCATTCGATCGTGACGGCCTTTGACTTGCTTCGCTAACTTACATGATCTGCGATGCTGTCGACCAAGCCCTGGAATTCGCTACCATTTTCCAAGATCAAGTTCACCACTTCTTCATGACCTCCATCGATAGCATAATCTAAGGGCGTAGCGCCCGAATTGTCCACAATAGTTGCATCTGCTCCGTGGTTAAGCAGGATTCTCACGGTATCGATATGACCGCTTATTGCAGAGATATGAAGTGCCGTGAAGCCGTCATCATTCCTGTAGTTTACCCCAACGCCGTCTTTCAGCATGAACGGTACGATTTCAGGGTTTATGTGCTGAAGGGTGGTCGAGCCCGACTGGGCTGAGCCCTTCTTGTCGAGGGACGCTCCATGTTTGATGAGCAAGGTGACGATGTCCTCTCGTCCGTTCTTGACGGCCAGGTCCAGTGGACCCTCTACTTCGGTTTTGAGGTTCGGGTCTGCCCCATACTCCAGCAGCGTCTCCACTACGTTGGTGTGGCCATCTTCGACGGCATAGGAGAGCGGCGTAATTGATCCAGAGATACCGTTAGGATCAGCACCGTAGGTCAGCAGCAACCGAACGTTGGGTTCATGTCCGTTCTGAGCGGCTCCTGCGAGGGCCAAATGGCCAACCATTCCGTACAAACCAGTCAGCAACCTTCCGCTTCGATCAATCAGCTTTCCCAGCATGAAACTTAGCGTGGAGTGATGTCCTCGTTCCGCAGCTACTATGATTGGGGAGTAGACGCCGTCTATGCTGGTATCCCAAAGTACGCCATCCTCAGGAAGCATTGTGTCCAAAATCTCCGTCAGCCCGAAGTAGGCCGCAAGATGAATGTTCGTCCATTGTTTCGGGTACACCTGACTCCACCCCGAAGAGTGTGCCTCTGTATCATCCACCTTCAAGGCTTGGACAGCTGCCTGAACCTTGACATCCCTTCTAAGAAATCCCATGATGGCGCCGCGTATTCTATCTTTGACTCCTGTATCCGTTGCATCTTTATGCTTGTCCAGCGCTTTTCGGGCGTAGAGACCCCATGCTAGAGCCGCGTGTATGTAGAAAGGATGTTGAAGCAAGCGTTCTTCCCACTCATCGTCTGACAGGCAGGGACCCGCTGCAAAAGCATCCATGGAGAGATACTTGCAGCAAATTTCCGTTTGTTCCTCGGCGGCGTCTGGAAACCACGTATCCCGTGTTTGACGAAAATACTCTTCTGTCGTGTGGTGGAAGAATGTCAGACAGTTCTCTGAGCTTTCCAGGACAAGCCCAGCACAAGAAGAGATGACTGCGTTTACATCCAGAAATGTCCCAGAGTCTGAAGCGCAGTCGTTGAGAATAAACCCTATCAAGTTTTGGGCTTGCGGCTTTTCCAAAATATAGTCAGAGTGCGCCATCCATGCACTCAGGGTGTTGCCCATCTTCGATTGTTGGACGCGCAGCATGATCTTCTTATAGAAGTCGTTGATGGCTCGAGAATTCTGCAACAAGGCAAGATTGCTCAAGTATTCCATTCGCTGACTGTCCTTCAAGGCATCAATATGGGCTTTAGAAAATAGAAACCTAGCTTCGTTAGATGACTGCTCCCGAAAGGTTTCGGTCCCGACTTACACTCCTTCTGCAAAAGTCACCGTCCTCTCCTCAAGTTCCTCTAGTTGTGCTGGATAAATATTACTTGTCATCGCCGTAGTAAGAGATTTGCGTGCGTATGCTGATATGTCAGCTTCCGTGGCTCGTAGATCCTGGATCGGGAAGTCCAGTAATGCGTTGTGGATTGTCGGGATAATTCTGGAAGTGAAAAGCACGCTGACTTTGGGTTGCCCAGCAATGTCCAGTAACCACAGGATGAATTCTGTGTCTCGTGCTCGCAGATCCAATCCATCAACGACGACGAAGACTCTCGATAGACGGGATCCAGTCGAAAGATCTTGCATTGACATTTTGTCAACTGGCAAATCACTTTTCTCTTCGACTTGTGTGAAATCTGACTTCTCGGGGCCGCGGAGCTGGGTCAAGAAGCTTCGGATTAGTTTTCCCGTAATGCCTTCTTCTTTGTAAACTTCACAGAACAATCCTACGACTCCAATGGACTTATCGTTCCTGAACCTCTGTCTCAGGTCTTCAAGCACCACTGAAGCTAGAACAGATTTTCCGACACCAGGCACGCCCAGAACTAGGCGTTTCTCCCCGGCGTGAGATAGCCATGTCTGATGGCCGGTTGAGTTCAAGAACCACTGCCAGGTACCCGGGTGTCGCTGCCGTAAGTAGTAGTTCAAGGCAAATTCATCATTAGAGATGTTGTTTGGGTCTGGAGGATTGTCCTCGCTTTCCTGTTTGTCCTGGAAGTCTTCTTCGAAGGGGTCGTCCAGCTTGAGAGACGCAATATCGGGAGAAGACGATGCCTTGGAATTGATGTCTGAGAATTTTAAACTGACATCCAGGAGAGAAGATTCGGAACGATTTCCCTGAGCAGCTCCAGAATTGCTCCCATGTGTCGGCTCATCCTCTTCTAGTGTATGTCGTGGAATGGAGAAAGAAGCAAGTCGTTCCATGTGAAGGGCCATGTGATCTGTGAGAGAAGTCTCAAACGGGCCTCTAGAGAGACAAAAGGCGCAAGTATCGCGCACATCCGTCGTGCTAGCATGTGCAAAGCTAGCCATGCTCTGTATCTGAGCCTGGCTAAATGTAGCGTGGGACGCTTCGAGATGCCCGATCAAGGCATCTTTCGATCTAAATAGATCTTTATGCTCGAAACAGCGCCATACCCTACGGTGAACACGGGATTCGTGTTCCAGCCAGGCAGCCTTGCTGCTGTGCATCGCACTCGACTCTGTGCAATCGGCGTATGTACACATGTACGGTTGAAGATCTCGTAGAATATGTTCCCTGAAAGAGGTTCAGTCTCAAATGGTCCTAATAGTTCCAGTCTACGGTGAGTTCTTACCTCCAACGCCGGCCTCTTCCTTCTCGAGCGGCGCATAAGACACGACAATAAGGGCACACGAACTCCAACTGGTCGGGCTTGATTAGAGGCGGAGCAGGAAGCTCCGACGTTCCATCGTCCCCAAAAGCTGTTGAAACATAGGATATGGTGGACACGGTGTCGACGTTGTCCCCGTCGTGGTGGTACTTTGTCGCGTCTGTTCCAGACAGTAATGTGCGTCCAGCGGAACTTGGTACATGGGACTCGACGGGCCGGGGGTTTGTATTGAGACCTTCAGAAGACCGCACAACTCCCAGCGGCACGGCTACTGGGGGCTCACTTAGTCGAGCTGTGGTTTCTCTTAGTTGGGACGGTCGTTCATCCTTTGCCAGCTTCTTGGCATGTCTCCGCCAGTATGCAAAGACTCGCCGTCTGCTTGTGATTGACTTGCTCCAGCGATCAACGAGGTAACTCTCGAGCATACCGCTACTCTTTTCAGCCGCAGCCGAGTCAACAGCCGCCGGAACATGGAGATCATCGTAAATTTCAACTGCAGCTTGATTCTTCCGAAGCTGCCGAAGAGTTTCTTCGACATGTTGTCGATCAAGAGTCGAGTAAGCTTCGAGTAAGTCGCCCATCGTCGTTCCATCGACAGGAACTAGCTCCTTATGGTTCAGAGCCTTGTGGTCTAGATGCGCAGTTCTGTTTGCAGGCCCCCTGATTCTGAAGGATAATTTGACGAGTGATGACAGGATGTGATTTATCTCGGCAGTGTTCTGCCCTAGTTCTGTCTGATTCACGGGGACTCTTGAAAAATAACCGCCGTCGTCTGAGCTGCCGCTTTCACTGGAGTAGCCTGAACTGTCATCCATATCGTTTATGAGCGTTTCTTCCAAGGGTGGTCTTGATCCAGTCACCACTTGTTCGCCTAGTCATTCGATTAGCCAAAATGTTCGCGATTCATCTGCCTGGATTCTCTGCTAAAGATACAGGAAATCGGATGGGCTTCGTACTTCTCTTGATAGTGTTTTCCAGCTCCTTCAGCAGCTTGTATACGGTGCTGTGCATGAGACTGGAATCCATCAAACGAAAGTCCAACGACGCTCTGCCTCGTTGAAGGGCTCCGAGGTTGGTTGCCCATAGTTTGAAACGATCTCGCTGGTCTCGCACAACTTGTGAAGGGAGCTGTGCTTTGAACTTGTCGATGGCAGTTTCTGAGCTGGACTTTAAGGCGTTGAACAAAGACATGCATGTTCTAGTGGCCTCTGCCAGAGGAAAAGCCTGTTGTGATTCCATGATATCGGTTTCCGTCTGAGAGAAGCTTGCACTTTTTGGACCGCATTATCCGTTTTGAGAACCGCGGTGGTAATAGTCGTACTCAATAAACACCACTATAATGTTCCAGACGTTATTTGAATGAGGATGAGATACGATCGGATGGCCAAACTGAAGTTCTCAACCGCATTAGTGCCCCTGAAATTTTGGTGTACTGAAGGTCTGAACGATCAGGCAGAGCAAAATCACGCAACGATCAAGTGTCATTCCCGGGCGATTTCGAGATAAGGCTCGGGTTTGGCAAGGTACTTCCGGAAAGAGGGGTAATCACTTGTATCTCATCGATGGAACGGTCCAATTGGAATCATTCATTCTGCAAGGCTCCTGTCGTTCTAGTTCAGCTCAGCTCGGTTATGCAAGCTGACGGAGCATCATCCAACCATGGTAACTCCTACAGTCGAGTTCACAACTTCTCTCGTCTCCCTGCGACCCTCAGCATTTGATTTCGAATCAGAATTGTAGCAACTTCTAATGACAGTTTCTAAAGCTTACAGACTTTAGCATTGGCCTTTCAGATGGCAGAGATCGCTGGTCTGGTTCTCGGCGCCGTTCCTCTCGTCATATCTGCCCTGGAGCATTACCAGGAATTCGTTGACCCCGCCGTGGCCTTTTTCAAATGGAGAGGAGAGTTATCAAAAGTAATTTTGCGCCTGGTTACCGAAAGAGCCACGTATGACCAAAACCTTCGATTGATGCTGGCGCGAATTGTGAGCCACGATGAACTGGACCGGATGGTCGAAGACCCCCAAGATCACCTCTGGACATCCAGAGAGCTTTTATTGGACCTGAAAAGCGAGTTGAGCAGAGCTTACGGGCCATGCATGGCATTAGTGAAGGAAATGGAGGCCGTCATGGTGACCATCGCGGCTGGTCTAGACATTGACGGCTCGGACCAGGTTAGCGGACCATGAAGCAGAGGTTGGCGGTGCTACGCTGACAGAATTGTGAACCAAGGTATTGAATAATGGGCTTCAGACCGTCATATCAGCAAACCCGCCAGTCTCGAAGACGCCTGATCCTCGTCAGCGCTTTCAGTTCCGGAAGCGCGTCAATTTCACCATGAAGCGGCGGACCATCGACAAGAAGCTCACCGAACTAGAAAGCTGTAACAGGAAACTCCGAGACTTGTTAACGGGCGCCGATGCGATCAATGCAATCCAGCAGGATGAGGGGCCTACCCGGAGACCGCGCATTCGCTTCGTGGCACCCCTTCAGAGCATCCGCGCAAACGCCTCAAGAGTCCATGGAGGGCTCTGCGGGCGGTGGTGTTCGGATCACGACTGTCATCACGCGGGGCTGCTTCTAGAACAACGCATTGCTCGACGCATAAAGAAGAGCCGGAAGGGAAACGTGATGGAGGCAGGTAAAATGGATCGCTTTGGAGTGTCGCTGTGGCGGGCTGCCGTCATGACATGGCTTGATACAGAATTCAGGATTGACGACTCACTAATAACGCCCAGGTAAACTTCTCATCTTGACTAAAAGCGTTCCGTGATTCTAACCTATAATGTAGAAGCGAAAATGCACCAAAGGTGGCATTCTCAATGGCGGAACTAAAAGAAAGCCTAGACGAGACCGAAAGTATAACAGTCCTAGAGGTGAAGGACATATGCACAACAATCGAGGAAGCTATGCACCCTCACATTGGCTTCGCCATCGACTCCTCGGATATACTGAGGGGACTGTACCAGGTTGAAACCCAAAAATGCACTCTCGCCCAGAGCCATACGACGCTGGACGAGTTCCTGCCATCCATCAAGCGCCATGACTACGTGCTAGCAGATTACTACTGCCTCGCCGTCACCCTTGCGTCTTCAGTTCTGCAGCTAAGCGAGACACCCTGGCTACATCAACCATGGAGCAGGAGAAGCATCGCCTTCCTACGTTTGAAGGGCGGGAATGCTTCATCGGTGGACATCAGACATCCCTACCTTACATGTCAATACTGTGCTGGTATGCGCCCTCAAGTCGTTCATTCTCATTATATACAGGTCTAACATCCAACTCCCCAAGATGAGCCATCGCCCCAGTTCAAGTCTGACGTCCCACCTGCCGGGCGAATCAACATGCTCGCCCTCGCCATAATGCTGGTAGAACTGAAATGCGGCAGCCCAATAGAAAGCTTGCGGCAAGTTCAAGATCTACCCCCGGACGGACAGCCCAATATGTGGACCGACCTTTCGACGGTGACGAGGTGGCTCGATGTCCAGGTGAACGAGGGGAATCTCAGCTTTGGGTTCACGAGCGCAATTACATATTGTCTTCAATGCTGCGTCAATCCGTTCGCATCGCTGGATGATACGGAATTTGTCCAGTCGATCGAGGAAAACGTCTTGGAACCTCTGGAGAGAGAAATGCAACAGCTGCTCTACGGGTAGAACACGATGTTTCTACATAGCTACAGCCACCCATATTTGATGACCTCACTGTAAAGACGATTCGTGGAGTTGGGGGAAATGAACCATGGCCATGCGATTTTGGTAGTTTTATATAAGAAGCAATTGTGGATTTAGCTTATGAATGACGGAAAAGTCGACAAGATCCGGAAATCCGTCTGAAACTGGCCAGTGTAGTAGACAAGTATATATATTGGAGTTGTCGCTATCTAGCTATACATCAAACTTCAAAGCCGAGAGCGCAAACTATCCAAGTTCGCTCGGCATAGCGACGCTCTTGTACGAGATGGCACCATAACTTTTCCCCGACGGATCTATCCAGTCACTCAACAGCCATCCATACCATACGCTCCATTCTCCCAGCACGATAACGTCGCCTCCATCATGACCACTCTATGAGCAACGCTTCGGCCACCCCAGGACAAGATCCGAGAAAGAAAAGATAATGGGAATATGCGCCATCTGAACGCCATGCCATAGATAACAAGACTCCGGAAACGCCCTTGACATATGCCAACGTATATGATCGATGTACAACCTGAACTCCCAAACACGCTGCGTCATCTCATCAAGATAAATGTGAAATAAGATGAAACGTAAATGAAATGCTGCAACTTAGTGCCAACCACCATGCATGCGGTCGTTATCCTCGTGTATACGGAAACCAATGCCGTCCTCGGCACCGGGGACCTGCCAGCCGCGCTGAGTGCTGGGGTACTCAGACGGCTGGCTGCTCACATCGGATTGAGCGTCGTCGTTGGCACCCACTGCAGGGGAGAAGAGTGGATCGATGTTCTCCCCATCCGACATATGGTCTTGGTCCTCAATACCAGGCCAAGGCTCATCCTCAGGCTGCCGCGGGTGCGATGAGTCACCGTCACGCACTGTAACCATGTGAGTCACCTCGACACTGTAGTCGCTGCCGTCTTCATCATAAGGGTTGGTGCTCCCGTAATCCGGGTCCAGGTTTTCGTCATCTTGCACATCGTCTTCCGTATTGGAATCTTCCACTACACCACCGGAAACACGTGGGCGTGACTCCGTGAGCGGCGCGTTGCTGTACGGGGTAGCGTAGTACATTGGCGTAATTCCACGACCGGTTTGATGGCGCTCGTCGGCGGGGATGAAGCCGGGCGCAGGGCTGGGCGAGATGGTCCAGCGAGGTGTGTTACGAGGGCGACTAGGCGAACGAGTCCGCCGGCGTTTGTAAGCATTTGACATCGCTGATGCTGTCGCTGCCGCCATGTTCGGAGGACTGGTCCGGATCTGAGCGGCCAGCTGTCGTTGCCCAAATGACGACACGCGCCGCTTAGTGAAGGCTGGTGAGTAGTTCGCAGGGACTGATGGGGGCATTGAGGTGGTGCGGATATAGGGCGGCTTTGAACCCTTCCGCTCCCTCATCATAGTCTCTCTCAAAGGAGTCTGGCCACGAGTCATCATCGGGCTAGACGATCGCATAGACGATTGCATCGTGATGTGGTGAAGCGAAGGGGAGGCTGACACCCTCTGCCTTGCTTGTCGGATACTCAACGACGACTGAGAACTGGGGACCTCGTCCAAATGATCATTCCATGCCCAGTAGTCTTCGCGGGCATCCGCTTCAGGAACCTCCTGCGTCGATTGAGAATCCGGATAAAAGCGGCTCGTTTCCCGAAGACGTTGCCAAGTCCAGCCGGACTCAAACGCCTGCAAGTCCTGCAGGTAAGCTTCAGGCTGAGTGATAAACAGACGAGGCTCAGAGGAGCGCATGACGACAGAGTGGAGGAACGATACGTCCCATATAGCGGGAGTGATCATCTCTGCTGGCGTCAAGAAACGGAGGCGAGAATCTTTGTGGACCTTGCGGAGAGGCACCCACGATTGCTGCAGGCCCAAGAAGCGATCGGCCTTCCCATCAAAGCTCCGCCGGCGAGAAGGTGATGGCGTAGCGACCGAAAAGTCGGTAAACGTGTTGGAGAAGGCAGCATGCATGGCTGCCTGGACGCTCCTGGCGTCGGTGCCTTTGATGGATATGGTCCGTATGAGGCCGCGACTCCTAAGTCGTCTGTCGATGACGCTCGTTGGGCCGCACGCCTTGGCCATGAGCCATTCGTGGTCATGCCCCGGAGCGGCCCATTCCGCGCAGAAGGGCGACTGGGCCCTCATTGTCAAACCGCTGTTAGTGTTGGGTAGCTGTGTCCACTCATCCAAGCTAGAGTGAACGTCAGCCTTGAAATCTTGAAGCTCTTGCCAGATGCGCTTGAGAGGAAATGGCATGAAGACAACTTCAACCTCCCATGGCCGGGCTGGTGACGGTATTTGCGACTGAAGCTGGAAGAGCTGTGATTGTAAGGTTTGGATCTGAGTGAGCATCTCATGTGCGTGGGCGGCGCGGGATGTTGTGCTTGTCGCGACGGAGACGACACTGTTGGTCGACTCATCGACATTCTGCCGGTCGCGACGGCCGACAAGACTGCTGGTATCGTTCATGACCTTCTCAACCTCCTCCATGCGCACCTCGAGATCGGTGACACGAAGGTCGACAGCATCATGCTTGTCATGGCATTCATCATGTCCAGCTGCAGAGAAGGAAACATTCTCCAACTTTTCCAGGCGGCTCTCATGTCCCTGAACGGTATCTGATAAATGGCGGAATGTTTCGCGGGACGGTCCTGCAAACAAGGCGTCGACTTTTTCCACGGGTCTTGGGGACTGCGCTCTAGGTGTCTCTGCGCCGCTGTCACTGTGAGGAATAGTTGCGCCATCATCCTTGGTAGACTGGCAATCCGGCTGAGCAAACGTGAATCCAGCATCCTGGAATCTGTCCTTTCGCGGTGTCCTGGGATTAGGAGTAACACCACTTAGTGTCTGAAGACCCCTTCCGGCAAAGGGACGAAGGTAGCGGGCCTGGCTGGAGGAGGTGGTGGAGCTGGCCTGAGATGGCATTAGACATTGAGCTGGTATCGGCGGCAACGTGGTATTAGTTCCAGGCTGGGACTGTATGAAATCGCCCCAGGGTAACGTATCCTGTAAAGAAGACTCCGGGCGCTGGCTGGGTTGGTCCAGAGACCGAGGCCTGGGTGGTTCCTCGGGCTTGTTAGGGGGCATCGCCATGGCGGCATCCAGGTTCATAAACTCCATGGTCGGGGTAAATCCAGCGGGCATGCGGAAAGACATCTCGGGCATCTGGACCGGGCTGAGAGGTTCCCTGGAAATCCTCGGCTTCTCATTCTCCTGTCCGGCGATGTGGGCAACGGGCGCGGCGAAGAGCGCGGGCGCATTGACGGCGGTGGGAGTCTGCGCAGGCGCCGGCGCTTCGCTCCCAGCGTGACCGCCATCGTCGTGATAGCAAGCATGATGGGAGCACATGCACCACACGGAGTTGTCAGCGCCCAGGGTATCTGCGTATGCTCTCCCTGCGGCAAAGCGACTCCAAAAACGACGGCATCCACATTTGGCTCCATTGGCGCCGGGCGTCAAGTCCACGTAGTTGCAGCCTCCTCCGGGAAGAGAGACTGGGGAGCGCTGAGGAGCGCCATCAGTGTAAATGTCGAAGAAGGATGAGCCCGGGAGAGGAGCATCGAACGGTGTTGCTGCCATTGGCGGCAGTGATATTCATCGGAGAGGTTGGGTGATCGGTGCGGCGGCGGCGACGGGGATGGCGCTGGTAGGTAGGCGAAAGGTGGAATGTTGGGATGAAGATGGGATATCGGTCGCGCGACGATGTTGACTCGGGATGTTGAAGAGAGGAAGTTGGTGAAACGAGAAGTGAGAGAGAGAAATCGCTAGGCGGCCCAAACCAGGGCCCAGCTGGGTCGCAATCCGAGAGACCTAGAACATGGCAGCTGGTGCGAATGTTAGCTCTGTCCTATCCTGTGCTGTCCGGACCGGCAAGGCAAGGTATACGGCATGCGGGATGCGGTATGTCCAGGCTGGAAGTCGGCATTCGCAAGCCCACCGGGGGAATCCTCAGGGCCGACGCAACAACCTGGAAAGCAAATGCACCCACCCAAACACGGAAGAAGATATGTGAGCAGCACGGCGATGAATTGGCGATAGGGTGCTCTTTTTATAAACGCGTGCGCTTTTGCGTAGCTGATGTGCGCGACTCGAAGAATGGCAGGCGAACCGTCAAGGCGAATAATTGACTGGAGGGGAACGGGGTGTTGTTGATGAAAGTGAGGCGGCGACGGGATTGGGCGACGGCGGGACGAGCACGACAGATTGAACGACGACTGGGACCGTTGGCCGATGGAGGATGGCGGGGGGGTACCACGGAGAGAGCAGGAACGAGGGAGGAACCAAGTCACAACCCCAGTAGCACAGATGGCATGGGGATGAGAGATAATTGTGGAGCAGAAGAGAGAGGGAAACAGTCAGAATAGAGTGTTGGGTAGCATCCAGAATCAATATGGCCGAGTTTCTCCAGTTGTCGGTATCCGTCGTCAGTCAGTTGATGCGTCTCGTCGAGGTGTTGTCGGAACAGAATGGTTCAAGAGATGCAGGTGTTTAGGAATGACTCGAAAGAGGATGCAGGGGTTCCTGATATCCCGCGCCTTGTCCTGAGGCCTCTGTCGGTGTCGGGTCAAAATAAGGTCATGATGTTAGCGCTGGTGGTAGTTGAAGTGGACAGGCAGCTAACAAGAGCTGTGATGTCGCAACATGAACTCGTTGGAGGAGGAGGTGGTGGTGTGCCTGGTTGCTGCTAGCTAGCTGTACGTACAGAACAGGCGTATGCACTATGCAGGATGCGCGCTATCTGTACGCGAGGTCGGTGGTCGCCTCCTCACCCATCCACATCACCCACCAGCCATGCCATGCATCCATGGCACGGCAATGGGCCTTGTGTAGGCGGCTTCAGAGCAGCAAAGTCGGCTGTTTGGGGGGATGGATAGTGAACTGTCTGCTTCCACTTCAGCTGCTCTCCCTGCTGCAGGTGGCAGGCCGCAGCAGCTGGCGCTTCCGGCGCGCGACCTCGAAACCCAGTAAGTAACCCCTGGAAGCACTCGTAGAGGAGGGGAGAGGAACAGCAGAAAAAAAAAAGATGGAAGAGACCGCAACCTCGACGCGTAAAGTGTCCAGGTGGTTCGCGGCAATCCCTGCAAGCTCCATGTTCCTGGTCCGCAGCGGAAGCATCCCATTGGCCCGACGCGCTTCGAAAGCGCAGGTTGAGCGACTCGGACCCCTCCACTCCATCCCTCGCCCGCCCTTCTCCACCTGCGCAACTTGTATCTCGCAGAGCACAAACTCCAAACGCCCCTCCAGAATGATGCCGTGAACTGCGAGTCGTCTCTCCTGCAGCTACTTCGCCAACCTCAACCTCCCCATGTCTTGCTTAGCCCCAAACAATGCGTTCCACTTTAAAGCGGTAGCCCGTAGGACAAACAAACAGGACACCTCACACTGTGTGTCGTTCATTGGTGGTAGTGTTAGTGTTAGTGGTAGGGAGGAGGGGCAAATAGTTGTAAAAAGCAACAACAACCGCCACTGTTAGTGCTAAGCTGGGCTAGGCTGGCTATCCATTCCGGACCAGAGATGGGCGGACGGATGTGATGCACTTCTAGCCATCGCACCCAGGTTGTGATTGAAAAATTGGTGAGCGCGGGTATGCATGCCTTGATTGCGTCTTTTTTTTCACGGTGATCAAGGCGAACTACAACGGCGACAATCTAAACGGGGTTCCGCAGGCTTACAAGTATGATGATGCTGTCCATTCGCAAGCGTGAGGCGTCCGCCCCGACGATCCGCTGAGCGCGAGGCGCCCAACATGACTGGCCTCCAAGCGAGAGACAACTGTCACGATTGTCTGGATAGCGCCCTTGTCAACAGGCAAGTCTCCACAGGAATCCTAATCTTGTGCAGGTTTCAAATAGCCTCGCAGTTCCACGGTTGGCTCAAGACGTCAACTCAAGGTGAGGTGAGCGTTGATAGTGCGGCGTGAATGATGGCAACGTGTGGTTTACCTGCCTGTCCGGGTCCGGTGTGCGCCATGGGACCAGGAAGACAAGCAACGCAGGCACCCCGGGGATGACGAGCTCTGAGGGATAAACGACCGTCGATCAAGCTTCGAAACACCCTCGTCTGTTGAGCCCGTTTCGCAGCATTTCCCCCAATCGTCCGACTCGTTCACCGATACTCGGATTGCCTGAGGTTAAAAAGTAGCTGCCACACCAACTCGACCTGCCAAGTTGCCTTATGTGCTTGTGTCACCCTTCCCGTCCCGCCTTCGGGGCCTAAGCTCCACAATCTGCCGCCGCCCAGCCGGTCCATCCGGCCACTCATCCGGAGCAGTGGACCATTCCCTTCCCGGCAGCTCTGCCTGCCTATCACGGAAAGTCTTATCTTTTCCCCATCAACGCATCATTCATTATCCTTAGCCATATCACGTCTTTCGTTACAACGTAGACCAGATAGCTCGACGGGCAAAGGATGTGTTTCTTAAGTTGTAACGGCTCGACATGATTGTGTGAATTGTAGTATGTAGATATCAATACCTCTAAGTGGACTTGTTATGATGGTGATATGATGCAAATGCTCCCGAGTTCCCCATAAATCGTGTGAAACAACTCGTCAACTCCCGCTGACCCAAATAATGTACATCTAGTGTGAACAAACGCCGTGCCGAGCCGGTGGCTGCAGGCCATTGGCGTTATGACTCTGCTCTGCTGTTGATAATGGCTGCACTAAACCTCCCCCCAGCTTCCCATGGGACCTGCCGAGACGATGGCCGAACCTGTCCCAATGGACCCTCCAATGTCCCAGTAGTGACGCGATGAAACGCTGCTGCGTCTCGCCGAGCGTCTCGTGCTCTGGCTGGCACAGCTAGACGCGTGCCGCATGGCGGCTGGACTCGACGGCGTCGTCGCCTTGAATGTCCTCCGCTCTGCCGGTCGTGCTCGGGATACGAGCGGGTGATGCTGACGCACCCGCGCGGCCTTAGCTGCTGTGTCTGGGGTGCTTGAGGTGGCAAGGTGGGAAGTACCAGTTGTGAAAGCCGACGACGGTGTAGACCGTGAGCTAAAACGAGACCGCAGATATCTGAAGACGAGGTTGACGTCCAAGTCTTGCTCCCACTCCTCTTGGGTGAAAGATGTGGGCAGAGGAGTTGACTCATCTCGAGTCACAGGCACGGGAGCATCCGACTGGGGCCGCACAGTGGGGATGTCGATAGGGCGCGCATGCTGAACCATTGTTGGTCGGAATTCAGGCATTGCTGTCGACGCTTCCCGTACGGGAGCAATTGGCGTATCAGCAGCCGACTCTGGGATGACTGGTAGTCCGGCGTAGGGGATCGGCATCTGCTGCATGCGAGTGTACGTTGAGAAGGCCCCTGGATGAGGTGACACCTGATTCACCAGCAGACCAAGCTCTTTGGACACGCGCTCGAGAGCTCGGAATTGCCACGATGAGTCAGAGTTCGGTGTAGGTGTGGCAGAAAGATCTGCGCTTGTCTTGGGCGTTGTTGAAAGGTCCTCATCAGTCGGGAGCTCCTCTCCAAGGAGAATGGAAAGCATTCTCTCATCGATGCCCAACTCGTGCAGAACCTTGCGGGCAATCTTGGCGAGGACACCGCCGTCGTCTTCCTTGGTGTCAGTCGATTCATAGTGCCAGTCCATGCTGTCAGCATCGTCTTCATTTCCAATCACACTTAATGTTGCGACATCCTCCGCCTGCTTCTCTTCTGTTGTCATTGTCGGCTTTGCAGACACCATAGACTGGCGGCGGCGTCTGGTTTCCTTGCTGATCTCTTGCAAGAGGATGCGACTTTGTTCTAGACGCCAAGCTTCGATTCTCTGCATCTTGTGGCTCTCTTGCTCCTGCTCGACCTCCATCTCAAGCTGGGCCAGCTCGAGACTCTCACGCCGCCTCCGCAGGTGGTTAGGATTGAACCTCTCAAAGGCATAGAGCTGCTCCTGGACCTCAGGACTGTCAAGCCGGAAAGAACCCAGGCCATCGTGGGCGGGTAGTACAGGGACATTCTGGCCCACTGCGGCACCGGCAGACTGAGTGTATAGACTAGGTACTGTCCGAAATTCAGGTAGGTGGCTGTCGAGGCTGTCGAGCTCGGGGTCGTCCTCGACAGACTCCTCGTCGACGGCGCTGGACAGAACGCCCGACTGGCGCGAGTCGGTGTCCCGAGCAGAGTGTAAAAACGTGTTGAGGCTACCTATGTCACTAAGCCTCGATCTTCCGGGAGTAGGTAATGATTCCTCCTCCTCTTCACTGAGGTAAGAAGCTGTTGTTGTGTCATCGGTGGGCTCGAAGAGCACCCAGGAGTGGGAGGCATCGGTCGCGGCAGCGTCTTGGTGGACCTGGGGAGCGTCCCGCTCATCCTCTTGCACCGGGCGGACGGCGCGCTGCTGAGACAGCCGGCGGGTAGGTTGTTGGAAGGCCATGATGGGCCTCTATTCGAGTCGTCGGGTCGGTTGAAGGGGAAGAAACAACCAGAGAAGAGTCGCGTTCGTCCGATAAGAGAGGAGCGAGTATCACGATAAGGCTCCCCTAGTCGCGATATCGCAGTGGCGCTTCGATAGCGGCACCCTGGTAGTTATAGACGTGTATCGTTTGTGGTTCGACAACGGTTCGAGATCGAATCCTTGGAACGGTTCGGGGGAAAATTAGGTATTCGTGACAGAAGGAGGTCAAGAAGAGGTGAAGACTCAGGCCACACACACCAGATATATGTGGCAGCGACCTACTGGGACCAACAGCGATGGGCAAGGAAGAATGCGGGATGGATGATAAGAGCAGGATAAGGGGTGGGAGGGGTGGGTGCTTGGGGGCTAAGGCTAAGAGAGAGGATGACGGACTGGGGCTGTCAATGATTAAGGCGTCACCGACTAAGGCAAGTACCTTTTGGGAAGTACCTCAACACTTGACCCTGGCAGTTGCAGTTCCAGTTGCCGGAGCTGGAAGGACCACCTGCCCTACTACTTCGGATAGGTACCGGAACCTGCGCTCAGCGAAAAAGGATACTCTCCTTGAGCTTGGGTGAGTGGGTGAACCGCGTAAGTATCATTACATGCGAACACCGCGCGCCGTTACGAATGACACCGAGGAGGGGCGATGAGAAGAGAAGTGGGCGAGTGGGCGAACTCGGCGGAATAGCGGGCCAGGCGCGGTATCCTCAGACAACAGAGCCGGGCACAGGAGACGAGAGAAACAGCGAATAGAAGGGGGAGAAGGGGGGCGGATGAATGCGCCAAAGTGAGACCGGGAAATGGGAATGGGGGTGGCACACACGGCTTGGTGCTTTGAATGGTGGTACACACTGCTCGTGGTGAGGAACACTTGGGGAGGGATGATGTGCTCGCGTGCGGCGGGCAAGGGATCCACGATCAAGACAACAACCAAAGGGAAATCTCTGGGACACTCATCCATGGCCATTTTCGCCTTTGGTTTGGCTCGGGGGTCCTACGGCGGCGGTTGCGAGTGCCAGTCAACACCACCCACTGTCTGTCAACCCGTCGACCACCGACTTGTTGGAGACGTCCATGAGCCTGAGTCCTGACAACCCACTCATCCATGAACTGGCCTGGTGCTGGGGTGACTGGTTTGACTGATGAGGTGCGGATGGCGTTAGGCCCCTCCTAGAGGCTGGCTGGTCACTGGCTGCGCGGAGGCTGCCACACCATTTCCCCCCTTGGGACCTGCTGCAATGGTTCAGATGCGCCCTGAGCGGAGGGGACATGATGAGACTGAGACATGGCGGTAAGACTCTCTCTAGAATGGAGGGGAGAAGCTATGAACTCTGTTTGTTGCTTTGCTTGTTTCCCACTACGTGTGCGGACGCGCTCCAGCAGGTGAGCTTGCCGTACATAGTGTACCTACTTGGGTACGGATACGGGAAATCCAGAACATAACACTCGTGTCATTTTTTGCTTTTCTACGAAGCACCTTGCGGGCGGGCAACGGTTGCGTCGTCTCAGTCACCCGTTGCCGCCGTTTGGCAGGCGACAGCCAGAGCAGTTGCGGTGCAGATTGGCCCGGTTCATCGGTGACGATATCGAGTCCACTTGCAATGTCAAGTGACATGCCAAAAGTACACTGAAAGGGATACCCGCCCTTCACTTTGAGAGGCTGGAACAACAAAAGATGGGCCAGTTCTCCTTTCAACCTTCGACATGATCATCTGTCTCGTACATAGACTTCAGGGGGCTGGCAGCGACCGCCGTGGCTATCTGTTTTCCCAATAGCCAAATATTGCAACAGGCCAGCCCATGCTTGTGGTGATGCATATCGACCTCCCATTCGCAGGCTGGCGGCATCTGCAGCCCAGGACTCCCATTCCATCTCACCCCCATCAGCTTATCACCGAGATCAATGCAGCATTCCGAGTCTTCGGCCCCTCCTAGAGAGAGAAGTAGTGTATGAAAAAAAATCTCCCATCCCACTCTAATGACTCTTTTCGCGCTCCTTTTCGGGCCATTCTCTCCCCCATCCCGAATTTCGGAGCAACTGAGGCGTCTTCTCGAACCTCTCACGAGTCGTGTCGAGGTACCAAGACCAAGCCTTTGAACTGTACCCCAAAGCCAACGCCCAAAAGACGTTCCAACTCCAACTCCCACCCAACGGTCTCACACCGAACACCATCCGAAATCCCGATAACGTCATTTGGGTCACCTGGGATCTCGGTGGGACCTGATCGCCGCCCACCCTCTTCGCTGAGAGGCTGCTGGCTTGCCCTCCGAACGTCGCTTCTCAGTCCGCGTCGCTCCTCTCTGGTGAATGTGTCTCCCCCCATTTCATCCCACCAACCAGCAACCCTAGATCTCGCTGCGGCCTTCCTACTGGCGCGCACCATCTGCTCCCGTCGTGTCTGCCCGTCTGCGCTTGCGCCTGCATCTCTGACAAGTCGTCCTGAGAAGGGTGAGGCGTGCGGCTGGTCCGGTTGTTCCTGCACTGGGCCTCTAAGATACATGCGTAGTAAGATGCTATTGTCAGATGGCTATTCTTATGTGACTTTCAGGCAAGTAGCTGAACATAAGCCCATGTAACTCTAGATATCTTATTCAAACCACGTATCTCTCAGCTTCGGCTACTTCCTTCAGCCTCTGCGTTGTGCTTACGACATCAAGGCTACCTCACTTCCCGGCCATCCGGATAAAGCCCGCGAGACGGAGGCCTGAATCATAACGTAGGATGGGAGAAAAAATATTTGCTGTCATTACGTACGGTTTGCCTCAAGCAGCCCCATCTCATTCAGCGTCCAGCGCACCTCATTTCTGGTAATCAGATGGGCCACCTTCCAGGGACTTCCTCGAGACAAGCTGGGCGCAGTCTGGCAGATGGGGGCGTCCGCGTGACCACGTTGTGTACGTGCTCACCCATGCGGTGCCATTTAATGCTACGGATGATCCACGGGCCAGACCGTCGACCACGATGCGTTACTAGTGACACCCGATTCACACGTTGACATCATCTTAGCTTGAGCCTCAGCACTTCTTCCTGTGGGTTGAATGCATGTCTCGGAGAAAAGTATGGGTATCAGTTTGCCTAGTAGGCCGTACATTAAGCTTCATACCAAGCCTGCTTACGACCCTACTAACAAATTCCGTTGCTTTTATTCCACCCTTTCCCCAGATCCAGATGCCCGTTCATCAAGCAGTTCGTCAGTCAGTAATCGCATGGTGCTCATGTGTGACGTATGGAATGCCAATGATTGAATTCCTATCTAGAGCCTGCCTCGGCATGACTCTCTTGATGATGACATGCAATTCACTTTAGACGCCAGCCTGTAGAAACCCAAATCCCATAAGAAACACGAATCTTTTCCCTTCTTAAGCCTCAGAGGCGAAAGCGTCGGGGAAGCGCTTCATGTTCTCCTTGAGCGAACCGTGGTTGCTGAGGAACTGGACGTAGGCACCGTCGACCTTGACGCGGCCAGCAGCCTTCTTGTCGAGGTACTCGTCGCGGCGGAGAGGAGTGAAGCCCCAGTTCTTGGAGATAATGATCTTCTGGCGACCGGGGAACTTGTACTGGGAGCGGCGGAGAGCCTCGAGGGCGGTGGCCTTGTCTGTTCAAGTTGTTAGTGTTTGAAAGGTGATTCTCTTCCTCGGATATGACGTACTGGAGTCACGAGTGCGGACGCTCATGATGATCTGGCCAATGTTGACACGGGCAACAGTGCCGTTGGGCTTACCCCAGGCACCACGCATACCAGTCTGAAGTCTATCGGCACCGGCGCAAGACAACATCTTGTTGATACGGACGACGTGGTAGGGGTGAGCGCGGACACGGAGGTGGAAACCTTCCTTGCCGGCAACCTTGACGAGGTACTTGTTGGCGCAGATACGAGCGGCCTCGAGGGCCTCAGAACTCAGCTGCTCATACTCGTTGGAGACGAGGTGGATGCAGAGAGGGAAGTCGTCGACGTTGGCCTTCTTGCGACCGAGATCGAAGATGCGGATCTTGGGGTCGGGGACACCACGGTTGAACCGAGACTTGGGGTACGGCTGGAAAAATCGAGTTTGTCAGCATAATCGCTCCAGGAAAAAAAAAAAAAGTCACATCATCGCCCGCGACGCCCGCATCCCGTTCCATCGAAAGGTGCCGCATGTCCATCGTACACAGGCTATTTCCAATGCGAGGAACATCGTGGTCCTCTTGACGCAGAGTTTCCTCGCTTCTCTCCTCCTCCGGTGCGCAAGACTTGACTTGGGATTTTGGGCGTCGTCGCAGAAGACAAGGATTCGATAATGCTCACCTTGTTCTTGCAGTAGCGGTAGCAACGGGCGGGACGGCGGGCCATTTTGTCGGTGTTGATCTCACGGGATCCGTCGAACTGTTCTGTGGTGTTGGGTTAGTTGGGGTTGGCGAGGGGGACAAAACCTGGACCTACCGGCTTATTTGTGAAGTGAGGAGCGTCGATGGGTTTGTCATCGTACCGGCCTTTTGCTGAGAAATCTTTGTGGCAACGGCCCCACCTACGCTCGCTAAAGGTAGGAGCCAGGACACGGACCTGCCTACTCTTTAGGGCTCAGGGAGGCAGGAGCGATATGATTGGTCGCACTTCCCAGAATCCCCCGCCCCTTCCAGAGCAAGTCAAAACCAAAAAAACACTCGCAATTTTTCTTCTTGCGACGACATCGACGACAACTTCCCGCCCAACGCCCGCACCCAACTAACCGGCCAACTTCGCCCAAAAATCAGTCGCAATGGCTCCCATCAAGAAGAACAAGAAGGACCAGAACTCCATCAACAGCAAGCTTGCGCTTGTGATGAAGTCTGGTAAGGTCGTCCTGGGCTACAAGTCGACGCTCAAGTCCCTCCGCTCCGGCAAGGCCAAGTACGTTTTTCACCACTTCGGAAACCGCAGTCTTCGAGCACTTTCTAACATCGCCACCAGGCTCATCCTCATTGCTGGCAACACTCCCCCTCTCCGCAAGTCCGAGCTTGAGTACTACGCCATGCTTTCCAAGGCCCCCGTCCACCACTTCTCCGGCACCAACGTAAGTTGATTACCAATGTTGCTCTGTAAGCATCAAGCAAGTGCTTGGCGCCCTTTCTTCTCTTGCTATCGGTCTTGGAGACAACGTCCCTTGGCCAACCCAGCGAAGAAGTCTATATTCAGACTTTGGAGGGTGAACAAAGGCTTACCTGCTGTACCCATAGATTGAGCTCGGTACCGCCTGCGGTAAGCTCTTCCGTTGCGGCACCATGGCCATCATCGACGCCGGTGACTCCGACATCCTCAGCGACCAGGTCGCTTAAGAGGTTGAACCAAAATTGGGCTGGCTGGGAACGGCGTTAGGGAAAATGGTCAAAGTAAAATGCATTGCAGTTTGGGATGTGCGGCTTGGGATATGCCGCTATGATACCTCGGAAAGGTCGCAAAAAAAGAACGACTTCATGACAGACCAGATAGGCCACCTTTGAATCAAAAAGACTCGCCTGTTACCCAGCCATTCAGCGAGGTTCATCAGTGCTCAATGTCCCTCCTTGGCAGTGTTACCAAGCCACATCCCCGTGCCTACTAACTATGCATACCTGCGGTCATCCATCGTGGCGGTTCCCTTGGGTTGGACCTGTGGCTTGCACCAACGGAAGTCGATCCTCCCAAGCAACCAAGCTGGTGGTGCCCGCGGCTTAGACTTCAATGATGGAACAGAGCCATGACCATGACCGAGCCAAACAATGAGATGCTTCCCGTCCCGTCAAACCTGTTCGTCTGCGGAACCGGGCTGGGTTGATGGTTGTCACCTTCTCGGCAGCTGTCAGCCGCTGGTCAGGAGGACAGCAAATTAGTATGGATGTCAAGATGGCTTTCTCTGATACTGGAACAGGAAGGCCGCCTTCGCTCTGGCAGTGTGCATTAATGGCAACATGAGGATAATTTCACAGTTCCCACTGCGGTGAGTTCTGGCCGGTCTCGTGCAAATTGTCGTCCAATGACTCGATGGGGTACCTGGGTACAGAAGACGGGCCGAGCCCACTAACATGGACGGGCTCCGCATTCCGGTTCCTCAGCATGGAGGAAATAGGGGTGCGGGTTGCGGAGGACCCCTACCATTGCATGTGCTGCTTGCTAAGACGTCGTGGTAGATGTTAGCAGCTCTCTACTGCGAGGTACAACGGTTCCCTACGTCCAAGGGAGCGCGGCCGGGTATTCCTGAGGCTTTCGCTAGGGAAGGAGACACCACATAGCAGATGGCCATAGGGATTAGGGACGGACGAGAGCGAGGAACATGGCATCCCCAGGGCTATGCCTGACAGACTATCGACAGCGACGAGGGTGTTTCAGCAAGACCCCAAAACTGCATCAAGATCCTATTCGCTGATGGCAGTGATTGTGGTTTACGTGTTTTGTTGTTATTGTAGACGCGATTTGATTCGACTTTGAAGGACGGAGTATCAAAGCCGTGTATAAACCTTGGTGGTCTACCCTCTAGTTCACGTACATGGAAGACGAGTCCTATTGCCTCTTTTCACCTACCGTTTCCCAGAAGCCGGTTCTCATACCCTCGCCACAGCAGTACGAGAGAAGGTTACCGCCGCAGTCGTCCCATCTTGTCGCAAAAGACGAGACGGCGTGTGCAGCATCCGCATTCGCAGCGCAGCGCTGGCCACTGCCCGGCACTGCCGTCATCGTCCCGCCATCGAGCCACCGAGCCCGACGCGACGCAGCAGTTTCTCTGAAAGAGGAAGAGACGGGACTGGTGGTGACTGAAACAGGAGGGTTCCTACAGTGCCCTCGGACGCATACAGCAGCAGAGTCTCGGCAAGACGCAACACGGCGCGAGCATAGCGATCAAGGAAAGCATAGCGTTGACCGAACTACGGGGTTCAGATTCAGAGTTCCTGGTGGTCGCTGTGAAGGTTTGCGTATGACGGCTGGTTCGTTCTGCAGGAGGTTCAGTGCTTGAGCGGGAAGGGAAGAGACTCAGACGCAACGCAACGCAACGCAACGCAACGTTAGCGGCCTGGAGTTGGACGGGAGACAAAAAAGCATCGTTTCTCAGGTCGAGCTATTCCCCGAGTGCTGGTTGGTCGACGCCCTCCCATTCCCGACGGCCTAGCGAATTAAACCCCTGGAGACGCCCCCCGATATATCGGAAATTCGCTGGAGACAGTCCCTGCGGTCTGGACAGTGACTGGACAACCGTCACCGTCACCGACAAAACGCATCCGACTTGTGGATTTGCTTGCTGCCCGTACACGGAGGAGACAGGCGAGCAGAGCAGATACAGAGTACAAACCGCAGGTACCTTACCTGACCGGGGCTGACTGTCTGACACCCGACGACTTAAGCTTGCACAGCTGCTGCCGCACACCCTCTTTTCTGCACCGCACTCCTACTACTTGGCCCTCTTCACTGGCACCTGCGTTGCACAGCACAGCACACTTTCGCATTCCATTTCTGACTTCTGGGGCCCAACGATCGACAACAAGACCGACTCCCCTCCGTCTTGTCCCTCCTCCCACTACGCCACTTGTTCCAAGAATAAGCCATTACAACATTCTGCTGAGGTAGATTGTTTCCTCTGGAACGAAACATCGTCACTACAGAAATAACCCGCACCCACACGGCTCACTGCATACACCGCAGTGCTTGGCCTTATCCCCCTCGACCTCGACCAAAAAAAAGAAGGGCGATTCCCCCGCTCCCGTTTCCCCAGGTTACCTCCGCCGCGACTAGAACACAACAACACCATCGCTACAAATAAAGCCCGCCGCGACAATAATGTCAGCTGCCACTGCAAAGAAGCCGCCCGCCGGCGGTGTCGGTAGAGTCTCTTCTACCGACTCAGCCTCGCCCTCTTCTCCTGCGAGAACCCCCTCGAGATCGTCCACCCCGACCGCTACTTCAGCTCCGCGCAGAGGTCCCCCTCGCACCACAACCCCCGTCTCTGCTCGTGTGGCCGCCCATGCCAGGAGAGGCTCAACCATGAGCACCCCCAACATTACTGCTCCCGACACCAGCAACACCGACGCCGAGGAAGCTGCTAGGGCCGAAACTGTTGCGCTGCTTGACGACCTCAAGGAGCGCCTCTCCAAGGCCGAAATCTCCTCCGAGCAGTACAGGAAACAGGCCGAAGTACTGCAGACGAGGTTGGATGATGCGCTCAAGGAGTCTGCAAAGCTGGAAGAGAAGGTGCACGAGACCGAGGAACAAATCGAGACCCTGCGCAACGAGAAGAGAGAAAACGCGAGGCAGATGCGCGAGATGGAGACCATCTACGAGGCCGAGAGGAGTTCTATGAACAAGGAGAAGGAAGAGTTCAACAACAGGGAGGAGGAGATGCAGACCATCATCCAGAGGCTGAAGGACACCCTGTCGCAAAGAATGAACGACGAGGAGGGCAGCAGGTCCTCAAGGCAATGTAGGTGTTTCATCATGTCCATCTCAATGCATTGTTACTAACATCAAGCAGCAGCGGCGACGTCACCCAACGTTGACAACGGAAGCTTTGCACCACCTTCCTCCCTCAACCGCAGCGACTCGCGGAACAACTCCAAGTTGATTCTCCAGAAGGACAAGCTCATTGAGTCTTTGCGCCTGGAACTTGCCGAGGCCCAGATCAAGCTGGTCGAATCCGAGAACCAGGGTGGCGGGAGGCTGCAGGAGGTGGAACGGCTACTAATGGAAGCCCGCATGGCAAACGCCCGCCTTATGGAGGACAACGAGAGCTACCAGCTGCTCCTGCAGGAGAAGACCCTGAATGGTGATTTCTCTAAGAACGACTTCAGCTACATGGGTGTCTCTGCCAACCAGGATGCTCTCAATGCCCTCGAGGGCCGTTCTGGCGGCGCAAGCTTGGCCGACGAGCTGTCCGAGGCTTCAGACAGCACGTCCGATAATAACAACGAGCATGTCCGCCGCCTCGAGTCTGAGCTCAAGGGCATGAAGGACCAGAACAAGGCGTTGACGCTCTACATTAACAAGATCATCGAGAGACTTCTGCAGCACCAGGACTTCGAGCACATTCTCGACACATCGAGCGAGCCCAAGCCTGCCGCGGCCAACACCAACAAAGAACTCCCGCTCCCGCCTGCATCCGGAGCCTCGCTCCTGCAGCGCGCCAAAACCATGGCCGTCGGCCCGAACAAGCCCAAGCCGAGGCCCATGTCTTACATGCCTTCGGCTACGCCAGCGAACTCGGCGCACACCGATCCGGAGACAGCGCCTCGCATTCCTATCGGCAACTTGACCCGCTCCTCCAGCACTCGCCGCTCCCGTCCGATGAGCGAGCAATTCACCGGCGTGAACCTCGTCAGCCAGATGTACAAGGGTCCGGGGGACGGGCCCATTTCACCGCCCCTTGGCTCCCCGCGCACCCCACGAACATCGCAAACTTTTTTCAACGGCAACCCCAACGCGGCGGCGCGGGCTCCGAGCGGCCAGCAGGCGCCTACGGCGGGTAACTTCCCCGGCATGCGCAGCGAGACCTCGAGCATGAGCGGCGACTCGGGCGACATCACCACGCCCCCTTCGCAGTCGCCCCCGCGTTCCCACCACGAGAAGCAGACCACGTTCGCCGGCGGTAACAAGCCCCGACCTCTGCGTCTGGTGCAGGAGAACTCCGAGGCCAAGCAGGAGAACAACAAGCGATCCAGCTGGATGGGCTGGGCCTCCGGCTGGGGCAAGAAGGATGAGAACGCGGCCGCCAACAGCGACCCGATCCCCGAGTAATCGCCGCAACATGATTACGCCGTTATGTTTATGACTTCTCCCTTATGCTTTGGCACATTCGCATCCATCTTTCTACACAACCGGGCGAAAAACTTGGGCATCGTTGGATACAGAAAAAGACAAACGGGATACCCCTTCTCTTTCGCGGGAACGCTGGAACTCTTTTGTCGTTTGGGTCCTTCATATGGCACTAGCTTTTTTACTTGGCTTTGCGGACGCACATCACTAAAGGTCTGGTGGCATTGCAGTTTAGTTGTACGAGACGAAGACAGCGCCCCGTCCCAAGCATCTTGTTTTTCTGTTTCTGTTTTTTTGGCAGAGGTGCTCTTGCTTTCATATGGCCAGGTACTTATTCTTTAAAACCCACTATATCTATTCATCAGTTCTTTTTTTGAAAGAGGGGGAAGAAGGCAAGACATGTTTGTTTGGCTCTCGAGCCTGTGCATGAGGGACGAATTGAAGCATAGGAAGACGAGGGATATGTGTTTCCAACGGTGTTCATGAACAAAACAGCATGACAGTATGCTGAGACTACTTGATGACGGGCGTCTTTGCATAGTTTAGCCTTGCGGGTTTGCCAAATCCCATGGCATTCGCTGAAGAGGCGTAATGTTGGATAGATACATGAGTAATGCAGAGATGGATTGATGTTAGCTATGTGGTTCCAATTTGCTCTGTGATTGTCGTGCTTGTGTACGTCATGTTTGTCTGGAAACCACAGATAATGGCGGACTGCGGAGGCCAAGAACCTAGGAATAGCCGCGAAAGAAGGAGGACCTTCTTCAGATGAAGGTTATTGGACTCAGCCTGAGTCGGTTTAGAGTTGGATAGCTTTCGATGATTGGGATGACAGGAGATCCAAGGTCTGGGTCTTGGAGCGCACGACTCTTCCCTCAGATGCTGCAAGGGAGAAGGCTATCTGCGGAATCTTATCATGTTCTCAGGGCGTGTATGACGTGGCGAAGGCTCTAGCAGGTTCTACGATCCACGACTACGATGGAGATATTTGCGGCTATCAGTGTCTACGGAATCGTTGTTGGTCCATCGGCTTATAGGTACTAATGTCTTTATGGCCAATTACTCTGACTACCCACTTGAGTTGCGTCTCCAGCATTGAGTCTTGTCATGTCAGCAGCACTCACAGTATATACGCAAGAGAACAGGGACTGCTATCATTCTGTGGCGATTGTACCTCGATGTCTCGTTATCTCCATCGTCGTCGCCTTCGTCGTCGTCTCCCTCGTTTCTTGATTCACAGTTTCAAATTTCTTTCAGCCATCAGACAGTACGTCTGTCTACATGAAAGATAAGCGGCGGTCTGAGGCCAACATGATCGTTTCAACAGCACAGGTTGACAAAAAGGAAGACTCCAAGCCATGTAAAGCCATCGCGGTCTTATTTCAAGAGCATCTTTTTCCACCAGGCCGTCGATGAGCGCATCCTCTCATGGCGTGCCAGAAGATCTCATGGCATTACCGCTCCTTCCGGCATGCCATCCCAGGTTTTCACTTCAGTCAAATCGCTTTAGGAGAGGTAATAAAGTCCATCCGAGTGCTACTACACACAGTCCTCAGTTGTGGTCATGTGAAAGACCGTCCAAAGTGTTTGTCAAAACATGAGCAATTCTTGCTCCAGGAATATGCCACGACCTCGCGCAGACGGCCTGCCAAGCATCATTTGCTGCCTTCACACTCAATCCACTTGAGTCAGAATTCATCGAATTTAAATTTCGTTGTCCGACGGCAAATTGATACCCTTTCGCAGAACATTCTGGTAGACATCAAGCTTTCCCATCTTGTTGAGACGTCTGACTCGGCCGCTGAGAAATACGCACTGCCTTCCGCCCACGAACACGCGTCTAGACCTCATGAAACCCGTCCGTTTCGCGACTCAGGACAGGCTTCATCCTCGTCCAACACGAGACCTCAAGAGCAGCTCATTGAAAACCAGGCGGCCTCTTTTCCCGCATAATCATCATCTCCCCCACCAGCCACGTTTATGTCCCCTCAGGACCCCTTATTTCCATGCATAGACCACTCAATTTGGACTTCCATCCCGAGACCGAAAATCTCCGTGAAATCACACACATTTCCCTTCTGATGAGATGAGATAAGCACGATCAACGGGGGACCGGAAGAAACAAGGTTTGGTCATTTGGCGCTTTCAACTTTGGATAGTCATGTTACTCGTTCTTCTGCGTATGGGATTTACAAGCGGCTGACAAAGGCGTCAAGCTTCTTCTGATTGTAGACGTCTGCCTCAACAAGCTTCTCCCACTTCTGGTAGAGTCACATGTTAGCAGCCATGACTCTTTGAACCAAACCCGAGTTACAACGGGCAGCGAATCGAACTCACCTTCTCGCCAGAGACCTTGATCAAGGTAGGCAGGTTTGTCACGTTGAACGGCTCCTGTCTCCACGGGTTCTCCTTGGTCCTCCACCTGAAATCAAAATTAGCAATTATCCAAGTCCAATCCCGCGGCTGCATATTAATGATATTCGCAAAAAGGACCTTTGCAAACAAGCAAACCGCGGGAACGGGGAGAAAAACTCACTCCTCGGGCAACCCCGCGTAGACAACCCTGACGGTACCCTCATCCCCGGCAAACTTCTTCTCAATGTACGGCTCCGCCGCCGTGCAGTCGGGGCACCACGACTTGCCGTTACGGTGCGAGGCGTAGACGACAAGGTAGGCAGGCTTGTCCTCGCTGGCCTCGGCCTTGAGGGCGGCGGCGACGGCCGAGGCGGGCTCCTTGGTGTTGATGACGGGCATTGCTGGTGGCTAGGAAGTTGGGATGGCGGTGGAAGCAAAGATCACACTTGATGAACACGAGAGATATGTAGAGTAAGTGAGAAGTGTTGTTGCGTGCTATATGACTCGGTTCTTGCAGTGTCAATGGCACAATCTGTACAGTTACTTGCGTTATTTCAGACGTTGGGAAAAGCTTCCCGAAGCTTATCCGAGAACGCTCACAGACACCGCCGCCCACAACATTATTTTCAGGCGCTCAATCGATTCATAGGCTTTCCGTAAGTATCAACTAGAACCAAAAGTTGGATCAACAGCTGCCTGGCTTATGTTTGTCAGACTCACTTCCCACACCTAAGCCACAAACCTCATTCGTGGTGGGCAACATCTAACTAAGCCCACACAAGACCGAAAAGAATTAATGCAAGCATACATACACAGATACCCAATCAGCAAAAGAAAACATCATGTCCAACCTCGAAACAACGACAAAAATATGACAACTGTGAGATTCGAACTCACGCATCTTTCGATACCAGAATGCTATCCTCTATGAGGATCAAGCTGACGCTTGAGTCTGGCGCCTTAGACCGCTCGGCCAAGTTGCCCGATGTTCCTCGAATGAGTTTGCAAGGGCTCAAGACGAGGTGGATCGTGTGGATGCTCTACCGGCGCCTTGCGCGGTCCCAATACTCCTACCACCTGTGTACGATGTATGTCGGTATCCAGGGCCCAGGCAGAAAGAAAGAGACTTGGCAGTGATTCCCGGCAAGTAGGAGACTGACTGTCTGTACTGATGCCCAATCCAAATCATAATCACCACCACCGGCATTCACCCAGTTCCATGTAGACATGGGAACAAGCAGATTATCGTCATCACGAGGAACTTGTAACGGGGGACCACTTCACCTGTTCTCCTCCTCGTGATCCTTATCATTAAACACAAAGTTGGCAGTGGACAGGGAAGGATGGAAGGGGGGGCATGTCGCCGGCTAGCTTGACGTGGAGAGATTCTAGAGGCGTGGCAAAAGAAAAAAGGAAAAAGAAAAGAAAATTGCGAAATAGAGGGTTGCTTCGATGTGGGCCCCAAGCCCGACCGCTCCGATCGGAGAACACCAACAAGACACTCTCCCGCGGCAACCCAAACCCCACGTTTGTTACGTCGTGTTGTTTACCCACAAAACATTCCTTCGAGCTGGAACCCGTAAAGGCGGTCAGTTTGGTACCGGTTCACACAATCTGCCAGGTTGGCTGGCTGCTGATCCAGCAGACACATCTAGTGGTCTCGCTCCTGAACCACGCCGAGAGGATCACTACGGGTAACATGGATTCATTACTTCCTGCAAAGGAGACTCTGCCTAGGCAAAATTATCCCTCTGACACGTCGCTATCCAGCTAGAGACGTGTGAGGCATTCTATGTGACGTCCAATCTCATCCATCACCAGTCCATCGACAGCACTGTAGCCTTGGTTGAATGTAACTTTTCTTGAGGTCACACCTCGTTGGGTGGACCTGACTCTTCTTCCCGTTTCTCCTGTTGGTCATCAAAAGCTTCGTTACAATTACAACAGAGTAGTTGCCACTTTTCCCATCTAATGCAAAACCCCCAGAGTTCAAAAGGCCGTCTCATAAGAAGAAGATTCCCAGTCCGTGATAACAGTAAAAGAATAAAAAGCAAATTCCAGTCCCCTAACCCCGAGTGAACAAGTCCCGTTCCTGAATGAGTGCGCTGCGCTTCTTGAGGTGTGCCCAGTGAGGACATGTGATGGCCCACAAAACGTGGTAATCCGAAAGGAGAAAATAAACGCAAACAAAGGCCGAACGAACGCCAGCTGAAAGAGGAGACATCGTGATTGGCGATGCTCGCGAAACGAAGAGATATGTACAGGTCGCTTTTGTCTGTCTTTGTCCCGAAGCGCTTGTTGCTGGAAATTACCATTCAACGCCACTTTTTTCCCTTGAAATGCTAATGCCATGCCATGCACGCTCAATATACAGAACAAGTGACAAAGGAAATGGTCGAATGTGTCGACCGCCGTCAAGACCATCAGGACTCTAGTTCTGGTAGGTCTCCGGGTAAGGTCATGTTGGGCTGGAGAGATGGGTCGTTGGCAGAGTTGGGTTTGACTGTGGTTCTGCCAGATATCGGCGCACTGCGGACTCGCTGGCTGAGTGGTAAGGAGTAACGCACCACACCCTTCACAATAAGATCGAACTCGTCCTGGATGATGCGTCCCCAACGCTCAGAACCTCCAGCGGAGTGGTTGCCTGGGAGATGGAGTCGCATGGTGCCAGTTGATGCTGAGACGCCCTTGTTGAAGAAGGACCCTTCGAAGGACAGCGGGCTGTCGAACTCGGTGATTGTGCCGAGACGCATGTTTGGTGCGGCGTCGTCGTCGGGCGGGTCGTCGGGAGGATCGTCGCGAATATGCACGTCTGGGTCTTCCAACTCGTCCCCATGCGGCCGCTTCCACCAATCGAAATCGGTACCAGCGTGAGGAGATTTAGCAAAAATTTCTAGATTTGCCTGGTCGATTGATACCACCACAATATTAGGGTTATGAGCTTTGACCGTCAGGTCAAACATCAGCTCCGGATCGCTGGCCAGGACGTTCTTGATGGATACAAGCTCAATGTCCGTCAGTGGTTGAGAGGTAGCGAACATGAAGCCAATCGCGCCGGTGATAACAAGCAACAGCATCATGGTTACCACCAGACAAGCAGCGAACCGGTTCAAGTATGACGGCTGCTGCCTGTACGACTGCGATTCGAGATTTCGCAGGTTTGCGGGGTGACGGCGCGTTCTACGCGCAGATCGCACCGTAGATGTGAGTAGAGGGGTGCGCTCGTCATCGGCGCCGGTTGTTGTCGTATCATCAGCGTCGTAGCGGGCCATTTGAATCGAGGACCGCTTTCCGAGAGCGTGGGGACCGCCTCTAGCTGAGCTCGCGACTCTCGGACTAGGAGGGCCTGACGATTGTCTCGAGTTGTTGGCCGACATCTTAGATCGGGCCGCGTTCGGAAACAGAGATTCATTGTCGAAGAGCGAGGGGTGCGTGTTCCCAGGGTGACGACCCCAGCGACCGAAGTGGTTGTGGTGATGATGTCTCCCTGTGCCTCTTCCTGATCCGACGCCCGCACTTCTACCACTGCCCTTCCCATCGTCGTCGGCGCCTAAGCTTTCAGCGCCGTTACTGTTGAAGGTGTTTACGAACTTCATGCTCTTCTTCAGCCCCGCGGCTGTGTTTACCTGCAAAGCCTCGTGGATTGAGCGCATGCCTAGGGCGCCGGCTCTGTCGGCCTGGCTAATCATCGAGGTAGCGCTGGGTGTTCGCGAGTGATACCGACGTCTTTCAACATCAGGAGGGTTGGAGTCGTAGACGAATGTCTCCTCAGAATCTGATGTATTCGCCTCATCAACGGCGCTGGCCACTTTAGCCTCAAAAATATCTGCTTTTGATGATGCTACACAGCGTTTGCAAGTCAGCCAACTGCTTAAGATGATCTACAGAGCGTCGAGGCTTTTTTTTAAATGACATTTAGCGGGTAGCTGTCGCCCTGCCATGCCACCATGTTGGTTTTTCATAAGGTAACAAGGCATGGCGTCGCTTCGTAGAGGAGCAATTGAAGTATGGACGGGATCTCTTACCATTTCCAGGGTTCACAGTCGGCTGCTTCCGACTGGTCTTCTTCTTCTCTTTCTTGGGTCGAATAGTTTCCGTGCTAGGTTTCGCTCTCAGTGTACCGGTGCCGGGTTCCAGTTTGGCAGCAGGTGCCAATGCCACCTGGGGAATGGAAGAGACGGTCTCCGTCTCGACGATGAGACCAGATCCCTCCCCAGAAGCCTTGTTCTTGCCCTGCTTGTTTGACAATACACTAGACTGTCGCGTGACTGTGGGCACGGGAGCTGTACTTTGCGACCGCACTCTCACTGTGCCAGTGTCGCCGTCTGTAGTGTGCAGAGATCCTCGACTTAACCGGGCAGCTCGGTCCACTTGGGTAACGTTGTCGGCGCTGGCAGCTGCCTCGTGGGCCAGCTTCTCGTTGACCTTCTCTAACGTGGAATCCATCTGTCCGGGCGAGTTCGGTAAGCTCACTTCTTGCACCGTTTCCAATGCGGATCCACAGCCCGTAACCGGGGTTCGCACTCCAGACTGGAGCTGAGAGTCGTCTGTCTCGCTCTCGGATACGGATGGGAAAGGTTCGGATTGAGGGGTAGGAGATGCTCTCGTGAGGTTTATCTTGGGAGGCTCCGGCTCTGCTCGACGTGGTGGTGGCGGAGGAGGATTCTGAGGCTTCCCAAGCTGCGGAGGGGGGGAGCGCAAGCGAGGCGACACAGGCCAGCGAGGGCTATCTCGTGTTTGGGCAACTTCGGTGTTGAGCGGCGTCTTTTGCGGGTTGATTGATTTGAGAAATGATTCTTGAGAGTGTGGGAGGAGTGTAGGGGTTGTGGCGGCGGAGAGGGTCCTTGACGATGTCGGCGGGCCTGGTATGCTGGTGGTGGATCTGGGGGTTCGAACCGCGGTCAAGTCTTGGCTGCTGCTCTTGCGCGAGCGTAGGCCAGCAGTCGTCTTGGGAGTAGTCGCAGCGGTAGGTTTGGCGGTCTGACGGGTAGGTGAGGTATCCCTCGAATTGAATGGCGATGGAGTTAGGGATGTGGTGGCCGAGGATTGCTTGGAGGAAGGTTGGCGCTCGAGGGTGGTGGATTGGGAGGGAGTAGTAGTGGTAGACGTCTCTAGGGGTTCTAATCGTGACTGGCTTGCGTCAGAGGACCCGTTCGTGGTGCTGGATGTCTTTTCCATGGCCGAGGACTTCCAAGTGAGACAGCAAAGGGAATGGAGCCTCGTCTAAGGTAGTCCTCATACCAATCCAATGTGGGTTCTAACACGGGAGCCGGCAGTCGTAATTCGGAAGCAGGCCTATCATGGTGTTCGACAATGCGACGTGGGATAGGATGGAATTCAGGATAGACGAGGCGGGATCCTATTGGGGATCTTGGGATTCGTCGTTTGCGGTGGCTACGGCTGCCGGTGCTTGGAGGACGAAGGCGAGGCGGATGCGAGGTCGTGTGTCTGTCTCTGAGAGGTAGGTTTCGTGGTCGACGAGTGGCTAAGCTGGTGCTGGTGCTGGCTCGGTGGCTGCTGTGGATGTGTCTGACGGGGACACTTGTGGAAGTAAGTAACAGAAAGTGATCTGGTGTGAAATGATATGGGTGTTGTCAGAGAAAGAGTAAGAAGCTCGAAAATGAGGGGATTGGGGGAAGAAGTCCAGAGTGGTGAAAGTGGTGTAAGTTGGCGGAAGAAGAGCGTGTGTGTGTGTCTGATGTAAAAGACGAAGACGAAGACGGATGAGTGGTGGTAGCGGGAGACCAGACGGGAATGAGGTCAGTAAAGCAGTCGGGTCAGTGCAAAGCCAAAAACACGGGCTGCAGGTGCTTGCCCTGCTTGCTTGCTTGCCGGGTGTGGTGTGCTGTAGCCAGCACTGAGTTGAGGAGGTTACTCGAAGTATTGCCGTACCTACTTTGAGCGGAAAGATACCTCATGAGTGACTGGCGACGGCAACTCAGCGAGTGTGCTTGCTGTACCTACAGGCTACAGGTAGTTGGGGGGGAAAGGGTGAGGTGGTGGTGGTGGGTGCTGGGATGGACCGGCCGGTAAGGAGCGGGCTCTTAGTGTGTGACGACTACGACCTGCCCAGCGAGTCTCAGAGACCTCAGCGGCCCAAAAAATCGAAAAGCACCTGCCGGAGACCAGTGCCTTGTTTGCAAGGGGCCAGACCTACCTCATCCAAGGTCCAGGTACGGACGGTACGTACGGAGAGGTACTTTCTCATCTGAAGGAGACCCATGCGCCAGGTAGCGCGACATGGTGACAGGGATGCATTTTGCTGATGAATGACGGTAAGCTCACCAGCCTCCCCGTTCCTGGGAACCTCTGCAACTGCGTGAAGGGAAGTACTCAGCCTTGGATGAAAGTATCCATGACCACCTCACCATAGGCACGTTACTGACCTGCCCTGGTCTCCGGCCTCAGGTACCGTACAGTACCGCAGTTAAGCAGAGGCAATGCACAGATTCTCCGCTGCCGTCACTGAGGCGAGCAGAGACACAGAGAACTGGCTTCCCTCAGGTTCCATCTGATTACTCTGTGTCCGATTTGTTTTTGGGCATGCACTATTCCCATCGTCACCCCGTTCTGCGTGTACTCTGTACGTGTTATGCATCCGTACTGTTGTGTGCCTACCTACTCATGGACATGACACACTTAATCCAACGCATCCAACCTTCCAATGGCGTCCTTCAAAGGAATGGCAGAAACAATCAATGGGTTTTGACTGGCCCGGAGTCGAGCTCCTTGCTCTCGCTTTGCGCGCGGTGGGCACAGTGACAAAGGCCGAAGAAACCTTCCTTCGCAGAAGGGGGCCCGGAGAGCGGAAGGGAATGCAATGTAAACGAGTAAGGCAAGGAGGGCACAGGGCGAACAAGATCCAAGGAATCAGAAAAAATCGAAGACGGACATCCCAAAAAAGCAAATAAAACGACTCAACATGGGAAGGGGCGACCCTGATGTGCCTGCCCAACGGCCATGCCTGATCTTTTAGCTTCACGGTACATTGCCTTTGGCAGTAGGCAGGCAGGCGTGGTAGGTATGTCGTCTTTGGGCCTGAACGATTAGTATTAACAGAACGACTAGCAGCGCAAATTATCTCTTCCTCCCTCCGTTCCCGCCCTGCTTCGTCGTCTTTTTATTTCCCCGACGAATTTTGATTTCTCCTTCCCGTCTTCCGGCTCTATCCCGGTAGAAATGTTTCTGGTCAAGTTGAGAGCGTGTCTTGTGGGCAACAGAGAGACATGGGCAGGTCTGGGACTTGAGGGAGCTTGGTTCTCCTTGGTGCTCATGGCACCGCGGAAGCGTTCCTGACAGTCCGTAGCAATCAGAAGCGTCGTTGAGAGCCCCATCCGAGTAAGTCAGCGACAAAGCTTTTGCGCCTTCACCCGATTCTGCCTTTGAGTTCCGGGGGAGCCAACCGCCCTCTGCAAAAGGTTTGCGGTAGGATACTTACGCAGGCAGTAAGTACGGACGGAGTACTTACCGTCCAGTCGCACCTCTCGAGTGTCGCCGGGTAATGGGCCGCGTCGTCTCTGTCAACCGAGGCGTTGAACCGACGACCAAGGGCTTCGCTTCTCCTCCTCTCCTCTCCTCTCCTCTCCGCCGAGAAGAAAATCGGGACCTCTGGGGAGGGGGGCGTCGCGCCGCGGATGGATTCCTTCAGCAGCCAACGCGAGGAATGGAATGGATCCGACCCGGCTGCAGGTCCCAGCATAGCGTCACAAGGACCAAAGGCGGAGGACCCGGCGAGGATAGAAGAAGGGGCAGAAAAAATACAACGGCTGGATACATGGAACTTGGATGGGAAAGATGAATGACGGGAAAGTCCCATCGACCGTCGCCGGATACAACACAGCTTCTCTTCATACAACATCACTGTTCCGAAGGGGGTACAGTACAGGTCAAGAGTCAAGGCAAAGTCGGAGGTTGCAATCACTGACTGGGCTGGTCGGCTTACCTACCGAACAACACAACATCGATGAGAACTGGCAGATTCTCCGGTGCGTGTCTTCCCGTCTCTGGTGAGTGTCCGGCTGCTGCTGCTCCTCCTCTGCAAACACACTAGGCAAGGGCTGGGCGGGGGAAGAGTCCCGTCAACCGTAGGTGAAAGGTAGTCGCAGCCCTGGACAGAAGAAAAGATACTTGGGTACGTACCTCTGAGGATGACGGCAGGGGTTGGGCGGTAGGTACCGCGCGGTGCCGTCAGTTGGGCCGATGGTGAGGAGGGAAGGAAAGGAGCAAAGGAAACCTGTGAGAGTCGGAGACCTATGGCCGGCAGAAACCCTGAAACTACGCGGGATGCCTCAGACCGCAACTCTTGTCCCGGACGCTTTCCTCCACACTGATTCGTCCTCGCCGGCCTGTGGATGAGTGGATGGTGGATGGTGGATGCAGCCTCCGCCCATTCTCAATCTGGAATTTTTCTGGATGCGACTTTTTGCTGGCTCAATCCACTGCCCCCAGGGCCCCAGAAAACGGGCAGTCATGGCATGGACTGCTGCACCGCAGAGCATCCATGCGTTGAGTCCACCATGCACCGCAACCACCAACCTCACAAGTCACAACACAGCAGTGGAAGTCACCGTCACCACCCATGGCAAGGCGCAAACTGCTTGAAGTGCGCTACGGTGCTGCCAGGCGGCCTGGAAGGCACAGCTGATGGGCCACAGACACACACCCGCACAAGGCAAAGCCAGAACACACGGTGCATCTGGGCCCCGTTCTAGAAACCCACCTTGTTTTTCTTTTTCCCTAGTTTTTCTGTTTTTCCCTCTCGCCCATGTTGCACCGACAGCCTGTCACCGATTCTCCCCGCCTCCTCTATCATCACCGCTGTTTGACATCGGACTCCTCCATCGAGGCCTCGGGATGCTCGCACCTCCCAATCACGGTCCCGGCCTGTCTACCGTGCCCTTCCAACCCTGCCCATCCAACCCTACCCATCCAGGGATGCTGAAGACCTATCGATACCGCCACTCTTGTCCCTCTTCTCCCATTCCAAAATCTCGATCTCTCTGGCTGATTTGATGTGATATCAGCTCTGTCACAAGTATGATTGTCAGCGGCTGTATTTAGTCAGGACTGACGAACCTGGCAGCTGGGACTGAGGTCTGCCTCCCGCACTAACACCAGTAATATCCTGCGTCGTCTGCTTCAACATGCGGGTTTTCCCATAATATGGGTACCGTGGCACAAAATATGCCACTAAGAGGTACCCTTTGAATGCTGCCATCTCGCTGTCGCTGAGTGTATCATCTACTCGGTAAGGAGTTTTGCAACTGCCAACCAGGCTGACGATGAGGCACTGCGTGGACGCATCCCGCAGTCACGAGGCATGCTGCACGGCTGGGTCTTGTTGGCGATCTGACAAGCTCGCATGCCGACTGAAGACACACCGTCTCGGGCAACTCAGTCGACACACTAATCAAAGGCTGATACGTGGAACTGGTCCCGGGCCCTAG